ATGTATGACAAATATATGTCGAAAAACCTCGCCCGTAATTATAAACTATGTAATTCATTGACCGCTCCCGACATGTGTAACTTCAAGGCATATTTTGGCGGCGATCGATGTCTTTCCAAATTACTGCACTTTTCTTGTATCCCTGGTACTTTCGACTAGAGAACCGTCGTACACAAGCATCGCGAAAGTTTGCACTCCGAGGCGGGTGGGGAGCAAGAAGGTGAACTGTGGTTTATTTTTATCAATAGTACTGCTTAAGTCGACGTTAGGGGCCGTCTTGACCTTGTTGTAGGGTATGAATGATTCGTTCATTGTTGAAGACCCTACATCAACTGTCAAGATGAAGAACAGGAATAAAAGCCCTGTTCATTGATAATTTTCTATGTTTTCAATGTATTGTGTGCGATTTTGTCCCATGTACATTTACTCCACATCCTTTCATTTTCTATAGTCAGGAAAAGAACAAATTTACAATAAATCATAAAGTTTATTTCTGCAAATTGGGTTGACGGGGATTAAAGATGGAGTACACGGACTATCACTGGAAAAAAGGAATGTGTTGAATAGTATCCTAATTTTGTCCTGCAACATTCATCCCATGACTCCTGAAAGAGTTGTTGCAAGGGTTCTTAAATTAGTAGTGACGTGTTTTCATAAACTGTGAATACTTTTTGAATGACATTAACAATAATGACCAATCTGCTGTTTTATTTTGATTTTGTCTAATCATTTTAAATATTGTTTAAAATTTTACCATGTGGAAAAACTGATTTTTTGCCAGGTAATGAAATATAATTATCTTCAAGCATTTAAAAAGGCACATCTATATCTGTATGTGAGTGTGTATGTTCTTATCTTTATACAAATTGAAATTTCCTAAAATATTCAAATTTGTTTGCCTGAATTACGATTGCGATACTTTACCGTCGTTTAAATTTCCCTTCAGTGGAGGAGACGGCGATTGGGTGGACTAACGTTTTAGCACATTTGCATGAAAACTAATATTGTATATAAAACACTCTTTCATTATAACGATATTTCACTGTAGAGGGGCGGAAGGACCTTTTTCGGGACGTCAGGATTGGGCCTTTGTTTTTGCGTTAATTCGGGATTAGATCTTTATTTTCACGGGAATTCGGAATTTACACCTATCGGGACTCGGGAATTAATAATTGATTGTTCGGGATCCGGGAAAGACTGTTTTATTTTTTCGTCCTGACGGGATGACATCCCCTCCTACCGCCCTTCATTGTAATATCTTTAAAAAAAAAGACAGAAGATGATTAAACCAAAAGAAATAAAAAGAAATGAAATTAAAAAATCCCCTCAATTTATAATAGAAAGATCAAAGTAACCCAAGTCAATTATCATGTAAAATATTTGTTTAACTTAACATTTAAAGCCAACAAATTTGTCCATCTATAACTATAAAAGACGTCATATAGTTTTCATTATAATGATAATCAATATAAGTATTTATTAATTTTTACCAATTACAATATTCCTGAGAATATCAAACAATAAGTTTATGCATTACGTTATCACATACATCACCTGTCTTGATATTTTTTATTCAAGTCATAAGGAAAAGATTATAAGACTTAGACATTAAATACAGTTTTATGGTCAAGAAATTATTTGTGATGATGAATTGCCTTATGTAGGTTGTTTTAAACATCTATCATATACCGTCTCACGATACTATGTTCTTATTCATCAAAGTTTTCGTCAGGTACATAATCATTTCATCACCCCAGTGTTTAAACATATGTTCTTACAATAACTACCAAGAGTACATCACACACATGGCAATGATATGCCCCCTTAGAAATGGCGTATAAAAGACAACTGGGATTATATAACGAGCAAGATAGTTCAAATCCAAACTGCGATCAAATAACATGCTTCAAATTCTGTTTAAACCAAAATTGGAAGGTATGACATCCTAAATCACCGCCGCAGCTTAGTACTTTACAAACGTAAATGGTAGATACTCTACTACACAGAACAATTGTTTATGGACTTTCCGCTTTGAATTTTCCTTGGAGTTCGGTATTTTTGCTATTTTACTCTTTACAGTTTTATTAAACCTAAAGCATGGAATTCTGGTTCAATCTTTGTCTTGGTTTGCACAAGGAACCTCTTTTTTGTTTTTTTTCTCTAAATATTTGTCTATGAATCAAATGAGAAGTAGGTTCACGTCAATAAGACAGCTACACGAAAACACATAAAAAAGAACAGAAATGACATCCAGAGGTCAAGAAATAGACTGCCCAAATAGATATGCCTAACTCTAAATAATCCCCAGTTTACACATGTTTTATATAAATTAACAGAGACTTGCAAAGATCTGTCATCAATACCAATTTCATTTTTTTTTTCGATGGACAAAAACAAACTAACAAGAAATTACCATGATTACGAAAACAAACATCTTACTCTTACATTTGTACACATAAATAAGACAACACACTCTCTCTCTCTCTCTCGCAGCTTCCTGTGAACAGCACACATGCAAATTATTTAAAAAGGACGATTTATAATGTATCACATCACATCATAATTGGAAAGGGTGTGATCGCATGAAAAACATACATTAGCTTAAAGTCTTTTTTAGTTAACATGTGTTGTAGGGTTGATCTAATTCTATTTATATTTATTTGATAAAAACGTCTGAGAATTTGTCAATAATATCAGTTGGAAAAATATTGAAACAATTCTTTGAGAAGCAAGCTTTTTTTTAAAAAAATGAGATTGTTTGGAATGCATTTGTTCCAGTTACCTAATTTACAGTTATTTGGAGCAATTATTCGAAAATTGTGGTCCCTTTCTATTCCTCGTGTTGACAAGTCTATCCATATTCCAATATGAAAACGAAAGAGGCGATTCTCATTCATCAAAATTATGTGAGATTCATACGTGATCCTTATATTAGATGAGTGTTAAAACATTTTAAGAATCCTAGTTTTTTATTGGTTGATGATCAGGATAATTTTTTGTAATTCATGTCATAAGAATTCTTGGTGTTTTAGACATTAGTTTTACAAACAGAGTGTTTTAAAAATTATATAATTTACCTATCGAAATGTTTCGGAAATGAAGCATCGGTACGTTCACCATACTGAAAAATATTTTGTAGTAGGTAGTATCGAAACAAAATTTTGCGCTATTTAATGTCTTTTCGACTAATTTTTCCCACTAAGATTACATCGCTCACGACAGATATTGTTACACTAATTCAGGTAATTTCTTATGTCATACAAGAGAAGGATGCATGTTCTAGAGATGGAAGTCACGCAATTCATGTACAAATACATGTTAATAGATATAAGAAGATGTGGTATGAGTGCCAATGAGACAACTCTCCATCCAAGTCAAAATTTATAAAAGTAAACCATTATAGGTCACAGTACGGTCTTCAACACGAAGCCTTGGCTCACACCGAACAGTAAGCTATAAAGGGCTCCAAAAAATTACTAGTGTAAAACCATTCAAACGGGAAAATCAACGGTCTAATCTATATAAAAAACGAGAAACGAGAAACACTTATGAACCACATCATCAAACGACAACTACTGAACATCAGATTCATGCATGCATTAAATGAAATCTTGTATCAACCATACTATGCAGTTAAAATCAAAATACATATAAAAAAAGTCTTTGCAGGCCGGTCAATATGAATAAAAGGAGCTTGCGGTACACGTCAAGAGAAAGCAACCCATCAACACAAAACTCTAAAGAGATCTTATATCTTCTCTTTCTGTGAAAATAAACAACCGTTTAGTCGTCCAATTAGAATTATATCGGTGCTAAGGTTCTCTCGGGCAATGCTTTTTTCACGCAGTTTTAAATATTCTTTTCGACTTAGTAAATAATAAAAAAAAGAGAAAACAGTTTGGCGGTTTACTTTTAAGTCATTTACTAATAAAAGACGTTTTTGTACAATGCAAATTAAGTCCAGTAATGAGTATGGGTTTGACGAATTGATTTGAAGAGATCTACAAAACTCTGAAAACCGTCAATGTTGTTACTTTACAAGGTCATGGCTATACTAAATTAATATTTTATCACCACTGTCATCAAATAAAAATACTGATTAATTTGTTATTTCTACACTTAATAAATTTGATCATGTCAAAATAAAATTATAAATCTTCAAAGTTGTCAAACAAGGTCATGCACTTGAATTGCTTTGCACTTTGTCATGTCATGTAATATCTTACTATACGGTACGAGTTTTGCTCATTGAAGAAGGCAATACGATGACCTGTAAAAGTTGCTTAAACCTACGTCATCTGGTCTCTTGTGGAAAGTTGTATCATTGGCAATCATGCCACACATTTTCTTTTTTTTCTATTTTGATTGTTTTTAGTTTGGTCCAAATGCAACAATTTCAATTAAAAGGCTTCTGAATGAAATGCCCTATATTCAAATATAAGGAAAAGTAACATCGATTATAAAGTAATGGATTTCCTTTAAATAGTGTATAATTTTATTTATTGAAAAATCATATCCCGATGGAGAGTATGATTCCTATGCTAAAATTAAACACAATCTACACCGGGTTAAAAAAGAAATACAATATACGCTATTTAATTGTCTAATAATATTTACACGATATGATTATAAGATGATCTTTAAATTATATTTATAACATTAAAAACAACAAAAAACTTGATAGTCATATGGACAATTTTATTATCCCTATTTTATTTAATCGAAATGAGAATCTATTCCAAGCTTGTTCAAAACAGAGAAATACAAAAAACATATATTACAAAAGTTATAACAACACTGACATTCATGACATAAAAGTACTATATCATGTATGCAAGTAAGAAATATTTAGCTCCCGGTTAAACATTTAAAAAAATGTTCAACAACAATTATATCAATTAATTAATAGATACCACAATTGTATGCACACAAAGAAAATTCGTCTTTCTTATGACTGGTGCGGTTGTGAAACAGCGTCATTAGTTTCTTAAATTCACAAGAAACCGTCTGAAATCTGTCAGGTAATTTTTCGAAGAACGTGATCGTTTTACTCCCAAGCTTCATTATTTGCGTTCGGAAACATGTGTTCTTTTGCCCATGAGCAAGCAGTTTTATTACTTTATGAATTAAGATGTATAACTTTTGAATGGACAAAAGATACCCTTCAAATATGATATATTATCATAACTTGTCACATGATTAACAATGAATATGTAATAAAGGTTATGATAATTTACAATTTATGGATATTTGAAACAGGACTGATGCTAAGGTTAGTTATGATTTCATAGGTTAATTCTTTTAATTATAGAAGGAAAAAGGGGAAAAAAAATAAACATGGAAACATTAAGGAAAGTTGACTTTGCTCTAAAAAGAAAAAAAATAGCACGTGACAAAGACATGATAGCATGAAAAAGACATTTTTTGTAAAGAAACATTTTGTTGCGATGAAATCATCTCCTGTGATTCTAATATATTTCAATGTTAACTTTCATTTTGCACAATTGCAATCAAGGCTGAGCATGTTATATTTTTTTTGGAAGATTAGTATAGTTTGTTATTTTATTGTTGTTAAATTTTTATTGTCCAGTATATTGTTCACGTTGAAAATTAGTTAGAACATTTGAAAAACCGTTTGCAATTAATATCAGACTGACCTAAATTAAAAGTAAAATTTAAATGATCGTTTTGATGTGCAGTTTAAGTCCAGAATTACCCGTATCGTAAATGAAAAAGACTTTAAAAAATACCAGGCTTATACTTTTAGTTCGTAAACATACATTCCGTCTTCACAAGACTAATCAATGGCACTCGATTAAGATAATATAAATAAGAAGATGTGGTATGAGTGCCAATGAGACAACTCTCCATCAAGTCTGTAATATTAATAAAGATATAAAGAGAAAAGATTTATATTTTTTAAAAAGGGAGGGTAGATTTCATACTCAACTTGTCTCTAAAATTGGATGATTTATTTTTCTGAATTTCCTAAATAAATCACCATATAAATTTCCTGTTTCGGTTTTGGGCGTAAACAACTAAACAAGGAAATCATGCTACTAAAATTGACTAAAGTACAAAATATTTATCATTTGCCTTTAAAACTTCAAAATGACACATAACAGAGCCATCAATCAATAGAACATTTTTCAGAAAAAGCATGTGTATCTTATGATTGTCTGCACATATGTGTAATTTGCTGTGGCAGCAGTTGTGGCCATTTTAATGTGATCTAAATGTTCTGAAAATTACCACGAATCATAAATCATTTGAATAACATCGATATATTAGGCTTTTTCAATTATAACTGTCAATCACACTTAATCAACTATGATTTTTAATTTCGTGAATGCATCGCAAAGTTCTTATAAAAAAAAATACATTGATTAAATGATTGGTGATTGATTTACGCCGCATCAGCACAAAAAGGCTATACCGCGACGAGAGCTATTTTAAATATCATAACAGTTTTAAACGACATTTTTAAAAAGCAGACAAAAAGTCTTTCAATTTAGTAAAATTTTAGTTAAAACCGAAATTACTTATTTACAAATAAAACTCAACAATAAGATAATGTAATAAAAAATTAAAATTATTCTAAACTTGTACAACTTTTACAACTTGTTTGTATTCTGGAATATGTTCAAATTTCTTTTAAAAATGAAACAATTGTTTGAACAGGAATAATATTAAATAAATCATACAAATCATTTACATTAAAATGTTTTCTCCGAATATCGGAAAAATCAATACATTCTGTTAAAACATGTTTAATAGTATACTTGCAATCGCAAGGTATACATTGTGGTTGAATTTCATTTTTTTAAATATACTCTTGTGTTATTCTAGTATGACCAATATGACATCTAGAAATAACACAATGATCTTTCCTATAAAATGATTTAAAGGTTTGCCTAAATTTGGTTTTATGTCATGCAATTTATTGTCGTTCCGTTTACTCCACTCATTTTTCTGTATATTAAAAACATATTTTCTAAAAATAGATTAAAAATCGTATATGGTATTTCACATTGAGATATTGGGTCGTTCAGGGCAAAAAAAAGTACCAAATAATGTTTCATATCCTTAAGCAGTTCAGTATGGGAATAATTAAGTATCTATATTTCAGAATATTATAATCTAAGATAAAGATAAAGAGAGAGAGAGAGAGAGAGAGAGAGAGAGAGAGCAATTTTAAAACTTTTTGAAGATGTATAAGTAAAGTCATTTATCATTTCAGAGCCAACATGACCACCAAACTTCTCCTTGTAGCTTCCATAGTTTGTTTCACCGTTATTTCGGGGAAGGACAGACAAAAACGAGAAGTTATAGGAACTCTTGCTGGTGGTGGTATTCACATCTCAGATATGATGGCCAAGTCAATACAGATTGCCCTAAAAGACTGGGCTATTCGTACAGAGTTGGAAAAACAAATGTACCTTTCAGGTAAACAATATATATATATGTAAAAAAACTTAGTCAGTGCACATGACATGTAATAAATCTAAATAGGAGCATATTATCATATTTATCACTAGACTATATCAAAGGTTAGGAAATGAAAATGCTTATCTATTTTATTTGAAAATTTTAAAACCGGAAAAAAAATCAACAAAGTGAAAAATAAGTTCAGTTATTGATAATCATATAACCATATATAAGTTGTCCTAAGGCAACTTTTTTGGAACCCATTTTGAAATCGAAAGTATCAAAGAAGTATAACATCGAATAACACCCTTCACGTGTACACATACCTAAAATTAGACATATATCAGTATGTAAGCCTCTCATATCTGAAGGGCGTCAGCACGAAAGATATGAGACGATTACATCTGATTTACGTAGAAGTAATAAATAAATATTTTACCCTTTCTCTTCCAAAAAGAGCAATTCGTTTTGATAAAAGAGAAAAACGTCATTATCTCAAATTTTCCAGATGTAATAGCACATTCAGAAGATGTTTTGTAGTTACGGATTTGGAATGAAATCTTAATTGTGTCTATTTTTCTGTCATTAAATTGATACCTTATCACTGTTTTTGTATGGCAATACGAATCGCTGTACTATCTTGTATTTTTGGTTTAATTGCCTTAATCTGAATTTTTTGCTGATAAATGATATCACTTCTATTACAAACATTTACCAAAACATGTTTTGCTATAAGAAGATGTAAGTTGGTATAGATATGACCAAGAATCAAAAACGGTAAGGCTAAGGCAAGTTTAACTCGAGATTGTAAAAATTATAGAATTAAATCTTCGAAGTTTTATCAAACTGTTTATAAGTATGAATTGAAAAATATACTCAGGTAAATCTAAATTTAAGGATCGTCTTTAACTTGCAGTGAGGTGAGACGTATTGCTTTATGTTGAAGGTCAAACTGCGACATTGTATAGATGAAGCTATAGAAATTGCTGTTCAATAGTTTTTTTGTTTTTTTTTACCGTATTCGTTTAGAGATTTTGTGTCATGAATTGATACACCGTATCCTTAAAGTTTCTTAAACTTTAAATTTACTAACAAACTGACAACACAACACCAAAATAATGAATTATGATGTGCCATTACCTCGATATATAGAAAAACAGACAATGCTTCTAATTTATGACTCATCATAACATTTTATTGTTGTAATATTTTTGGAATTATTTTTTACTAAGAATATGTCTTATTTTTAGCACGTTTGTCACATTTTTCACATCACATTCTTTGGCTTCACACATTCATCAAATGTACAGATCTGCATTTAATCATGTTAATCTAATGAAATGTAAATAAAAAATAAGAAACTTGTACTTAAATTGTTTGAAATTATCAAATAGACATGACTATTTTTGTGTTTAGTTTTTGAAAAAACAAGTTTGCGTAGAGAAAGAAGCAAACAATTGTAAGATCATCTTCATTCATAACATTTACAATTCAATAAATCGACCAAGTGATTCAACGAAACATAAAAGAAAACCAGCCGTACAACACTTTGTCACGTTAGTATTTACTGAAACAAGAAACTGTTGCTGGCATCAATTTATTCACAGTCTGTAATATGAGGTTAACTCGACTAGTCCTCTGCATATAACTCGACTTTCATATATTTCAAATGAATAAAAAGTAGATTTGGTGAAGTTAGCGACCTTTTAATTGGTCTATATGCTTTTGTCTTCTGTGAGTCCTAAGCATATATCGTATATGATTATACGCGAAAAAAGAAAATATAGAAAAAAAAAAGAAACATGATAATTCACCCAAACGTTGTAATTTTTTGTTTGAATATATAAAATATTCTTTTACTGATAAAAGTAAGAATACTTCTTTTTGATCATTAAAATTCGAAAATTAAAAAGTGTAATGAACTATCAAGTATTAGTGGGATATTTAAAATACTTAGTTTAAGACAAAACTTCAAACAATTGGACTGTTATGCAATTTTAGGGGCCAAATCATTTAATGATGGCTCATACGAAGTTAGATGTATTATTCATTGAATGTAACATGAGGGTACCCAAATTGGTCTATTTTGACAGTTTTTCACCTACGTTTATTGATGACCCAGACAAAAGTTTCCATTCTCTGTTTATTTTGTAGATGTATCCTTATTCACTATATAGTTCCACCAATTTAATTTTGAATCCATATTGAATCATAGAAAAATGGGTTTGAATCGACCTCCAAAAGATCTTTGATTCTGTAATGAGGAGTACCCAAATTGCATCCATGCTTAAATTCACATCCGTAAAAATCGAAAAACTGATGTTTTGTTTTATTTCACCAAATATTTGGAACAATTGGACAATAGTCCATGCTTACTATTCATTTGTTTAAGAAATTGATGCCTGTAACTATTTTAATTGCTCATTCTTAAAAGTTGACTTCGCATTCCGTAGATTTTACTTTTGCCAGTGAAAACCTCATCTGTTGATATATACTTTGAACGTTTTGTGTATATCTAAATGTATTCAGCTAAAGTTGAAAGACGTGCATAATGTCGAATCATAAAGATACAAATTGTTTAGTCTCTTAGAAAACTTGTAAGATTTCCACTGCAATTTTTGCCTAATGGGTGCATTTTTTTAATTTAGGTACTGTGACGTGACATGTATATTAAATGTATCATCACCTTTAACTTTTTAGGCTATGATAAGGTGTCGAAGGGCAGCTATTTGTGGCATAGATCTATGTTCATGAACTTAAAGGAGTACAGTAAAGTCCAAGTTCTCAATCAAAAGGGTTTTATAAATCTTAGAGCACTTGCGGAATTTGAGAAACTGTAAGTAACATTACAAATATCAATCTTTCAATAAATACGACCTATGGGTTTACTTTGCCCTTGTTATATTTTCTGTATATGTTCAGTACGGTAGTACCTCTTGTTATATTTTCTGTATGTGTTCAGTACGGTAGTACCTCTTGTTATATTTTCTGTATGTGTTCAGTACGGTAGTACCTCTTGTTATATTTTCTGTATGTGTTCAGTACGGTAGTACCTCTTGTTATATTTTCTGTATATGTTTAGTACGGTAGTACCTCTTGTTTATTATCCTTTAAGGTGGTACCCAACACCTTGACTAATATTAATTTGGCTCGTTTAATTTTCATAAAATTTTGACAAAATGTTTACTTTGACCCTTTGACAAAAATATAAAAATTTCAAAAATTTTGAACCAACCACTTTATCAGAAAATTTTCATTGGTTATATAGCAGTTTGACAAACACTAATTTTGATCATTGAGAAGCTTAATATTTCCTTAACAATACAACGTAATTAAAACGTTTAGCTGATTTTTACAGAGTTATCTCCCTGTAGTGTTAGGTACCACCTTAAAAGACCAAGTTTAATTGCAGTTTGTCTTTTTAATGGTTGTTTAACTTGCAATAAAATTCACATAATAAATCACACATCACTTTTTATTAACGCATTTAGGTAAATGCTTTTTTTTGCACTTTTTTGCACTTGAGTAAAATGTGATATATTACCTTTAAAATTACGGTGTCATTGACCAAAACTGTTTCAGAATACACGGCAGTCATACCAATAAATTACATGACTTCAAATATTTACTAATACTACTAGTATCATAATATCTGTCTACAAATCTATAATGATCAAATAGGATAATTACAATAGAAAGCTTACTTGGGCGCCCGTAAACATGTTTAACCTCGCCATATTTTGTATGTACCTGTCGCAAGTCAGGAGCCTGTAGTTCAGTTGTTGTCGTGTTTTGCTGTATATTATATTTGTATTTCGTTTGTTTTTTGTACATAAATGAGGCCGTCCCTTTGAGTTTAAACAATATTTATTCAGATAAATCATCACATAACGATATGATACAATTGAAATAAATATTTAGGATTCAGAAAGAAGCAAATTTGCTTTTACAAATCTGTTCCTTTTATATCTTGCTATATGCGGTAGGGGAAAAAGAAAATGAAATTGAAAATGACCGTAAAACTAATAGTGTCGATTGCAATCGATCTTACTCATAATCCTATTGGTTGGGTGTAAGGAGCACACCCCTGTTGATAAAAACTCTATAATGTGAACATGAACGTGCGTAACATACCAATTGAAATATAAAAACGCAATACGATTATACTTTTTGGAAATAGGAAGTTGACAATTGAAAAAAATCTGATTCCTCACATTTGTCATAAATCGTAGTGTAAAGTCTTCCATCAGTGTCAATTTCAAAAAAAGATGTCTTGATGTGATGCAGACCTTCCTGTTGCGTACTATCCTTAAGGTCAGGGCTGATATGCATAAAACTTCTTAAGTTAAGATTTGTTCCGAACGGACGGATTTTCCTACCTGTCCTGCGATAAATTAGTACTACGATTGGATATCTTAACTTAATTAGTTTTATGCATATCAGCCCAGTTCCACTGGAATATATGACATGTAACTTTCTGAAATGTGGTTTATTGACTGGGTATAGACATTAGATTAAAGAACTGTGGAAGCTTTCAATTAATGGGGAAACATATCTCAGATTGTTTGTAAGTCACTCACCTCACTATGAATGACCGATAAGGTGTTTACATGTTTATGACTCACTTTTTTTACAATTATTCCACAAAAAGAAGTAGAAATGTAAAATAATCATTAAACCATTTTTGTAGATAAGTATTTGCTTTCTGACCAATGACATTGCATAATTATTATTCATGGACATAAAATAATAAAACGGCCAACGAATAAAATTTATGATAAAACACACATACATAAATCATAATAATAGGGTGAATCTGTTGGCTTTCTGTCAAGATTGTATGGTTCATATGGTTACCATGGTGAATTTCAATGGAGTTTGATTAAAGTTAAAACCATTTCTCTTACCTACAAACTGTGGATTCATTTATTTTCGTGGGTATCAATTTTCGTGGATTGAGGAAAACTTGCATTTTCGTGAATATTTGATTTCATGGTTTTGCCGATATCTGCATACAAAGCTTATAGAAAATTTGTAATTCGTTGACCATTTGAATTCGTGTTTCACCTGTACCCATGAAACCAACGAAAATTAGTATCAAACGAATAATAATTAATCCACAGTATGCATTTACCGTTCTGAACAAGTTAAAAAAAGGATTAAGAAAAAAGTAAAATATTTAAGAAAAAATAGTGTGTTCAATCCAAAAGAACAACTAAAAAAAAGATATTGCATTTTGCGAGCATCAGTGTTTTAATAAGATGTCTTGAAAACTACTCTAAATTGTAAAATTGTTCTTTGAACTTTTATGTACAAAAATGGGAGCAATACAAGCGAGCTAGCGAAATTTTTAAACACTGAAAAATGTCATTTCTTTGCATTGTTAGGCGAGCGACGAAATTAAATAAAAATGTTGATTTCATTTTAAAAAAAAGCGATGTTAATTCAGAAAGTCTTCAGGGAATCGCAGTTTTTTTTTAGGTTTCCAAAGTTTTGTCGCGAGCGAATCCGAAGAACTATGAATCAACTTGGAGTGGCCTAACGAGGATGTAAATTAGATTTGTGAATTGGTCTTTTGAAGTGATATATCTTTATTCGTCTTATCTCTGTCTGAACTGCATTCCATATCTAAACATATAATCAGATAAACATATTTTAGATCCTTTTTCTCTTCATTCTTTATGTTTTCAAGGCGTCAGTGTATCATGGACTGCGTAAACATTGGATCAAAGTGACTTATTTTAGACAACATAAGGGCATTATCATTCTAGGTTTAAACCTCACAATCTAAGGATCAGACAAGTCGGTTACATCACATAAATAAAAAATTACCATTAGATTTAGAACTCCTCAAGTTTTAAGTACCAGACAATTCAGTAACACCAAATATCTAAAATGACCATTGTATTCGAAACTTTAGTGAACAAAAATACAGTATAGACTTCGAACAAATGTTCGCCTGCGTATTAAAATCAGAATATGTTGATGTGACATCTGTATCTAAATCGATTGGTCCGATCTTGACCGCTCATCAAGGTTAGGTCAATGTCTTGACCGCTCATCAAGGTGAGGCCAATGTCCGGTTATAGTGTTTTTCACACGTAAAAATGTACGTGTTTGTCAGCGTATCAAAAACATACCTTCGTGTTATATAACTCATTCGCATTGGCATTTTTATGTCATGATGCTCCATAATTCATTTTTTTCCTAAAATGATTAATTGATTTTTTGTTATCATAAATAAAAACACAAATTCTGAGATTTCATTAGATAACCTATGATATAAAAGTCACAATAAAATCCCATAATTAGGTCAAATGAACTTATTACCAAAGTACAACGATTTTATGTATGTACTGTTGTGGGTTGATACAACATAAACATATCTAACATGGCCATATGCACGAAACGTATGTCTGGAATAGTCAGCTTAAATCTGGAATGCCTAGTATATGAAATTCTAAAAACTCAAATAACCCTATAAGAACAGCTAAGACAGTCTAATGTATAAAAAAATGCTGTCGATACCAATCGGACAATCAAAAACCATAAGTCACACACAAAAAAAGTTTATATATAATTCAACGCATATTATTTTCAAATAGATCTGGAGTTCCAATCCACGTTATGCAGAATGACTACAAATTAGTTGAAGAATGGCAAAAACATATATCTCCATATTGTGAATGTCCTATTCCCAAGTGTAATCCTAAATACCCATACAGAACTGCAGATGGTGGTTGCAATAATTTCCATGTTCCAACGTGGGGGCAGGCAATGCGAGCTCAACTAAGATGGCTTCCGGCAGCATATTCTGATGGTAAGGTTATCTATCCTCTCTTTTCCAAAGGGGTCATAGGTACACAAAGTAAATTTATTACACCCACATATGTAGGTAGTGAATTACCACCAGTATAAGGGTAACCTTATGTTGATATTATCTCTAAAACATACATTTGCGCAATAAACCGATTATTCTCAATATGGGAAGTAACTTTGTATTTTTTTTTTTTTTAATTTTCTTTCACTGTCGTTCATGTCGTTTAGTATGATATAATACATTAAAACATTGACTGCATGATTATTTTTATTATAAAAAATGAGATGATGTACTATAATTGCCAATGAGACAATTATCGACCAGAGTTCAAATGAAGTAGATGTAAGCAATTATAGACCACCGTACGGCCTTCAACAATGAGAACAGCCCATACCGTATAGTCGGCTATAAAAGACCCCGACATGAGAAATGTACATTTGTTATTTGAAATTTTGAAATTTTATAGGTTTAAATGTTCCAAGAATTCACAGTATAACTGGAGCATCTCTACCAAGTCCTCGACTAATCAGTAATGTGGTCCACAATGCTCACATGAGTGACTTCAGGGAGCCAAAACAATCCATGATGATGATGCAGTTTGGTCAGTTTCTGGATCATGACTTCGTTGGAACTCCAACAAACAGAGGTAAGATTTATATTCTGATAAAGACCATTTAAATTCTATCTAATATCTATGTTTTTAAGTCTTTAATTTTTACTGGCATGATTGCTTAAATGTTATTAAAAGTGAACGGTAAGCCTCAGAGATACTACCATTTTAGTTCAGTGACCAAAAACGAAAAGATTATTTTTTCATAACGAATATATACATGATATATGATGAAATTCAATAATTTAGTTTTTTCAGTTATGTTTTCTAAATATGAGGCAAAATGGTAAACTAATTTTATCGCACACTGTCTAAGCAAATATTTAAGAGGGGACAATATCCTCATAAAAATACAATAAAAGAATTAAATCTTTAATGTATTTCACCTCCACCTTTTCTGTTGGGAAATAAATGTATTAAGACGTTTCTTAATTCAAATCTAAATTTCAAATTTTAAAAGCAATACATTTCTGAGCATTATTTTATCAAGTATATAGAAAAGCTTTTGAAAAAATAAATCATAGAGTAATTTTGAAAGAAAAACTCATAACGGAACAAACGCCCAATACGTCATTTTTATAGTGCTATGTCATCATGGTCATATAGAAAAAAAGAATATATGAATTATCATAAAGAAATTCTACAGTACAATGGTACATATATAGAAATAGTTTGCAAAAATCATGAATGAAAAAAAAATTAGTTACTATGCCATTAAATGTTTTACTATCGCTTTAACAATTAATTACGTTATTGCCCAAATTTATATGAAAATAATGGGATTTTTGACATACACATTATATAATTTATAACAAATGGCTACTTTATTGCTACCTTATGTTCTAGATGTATTGGTACTGCTCTATTTAAACACTAAATGTCTCCTGTAGGTCTGTATTATAGAACCTTTTCAAAGATCAAAACATTTGATGAAACAATGATATGACATTTCAATAATTTAGAATGTCGTAAAACCATAATATGTTATTGCTTTTGTTCTATAATTTTCTTTTCAACTTATTTCCATCAATGCATGACTATAAAATTGCGTACCATGGCGACCTAAATGATAAAGAAAAGTGAAACGGATAAATGGAATGCAGCGGGCAATATCAGATAAATTTGCCTTTAAAAGTAAATCGAAAGCTGGTGGTTGTTGATTAAATACTTGTCTTTACCAACAAGTTTGTATCAGTCCCTGAGTTCTTCCAAACATCCAATATCATTGCTTTGTGATTGATGTCAATTGAGATAGATCCAAAGTTAACCTGTTGGCCCGAACATGTCCTTTTCATGTAAGAATTTAAAACAAAATTCAAATGTTATGTTCTCATAAACCACAAATAAATCTTTAAAAGAGAGGTGAAAGATACCAAAGGATAATTAAACGCAAACGAACTGGCAATGCCATAGCAAAAAACTTAAAATGACCAAGAGACAAACAACAGTATACAAAACACAACACACAAAATTAAAGACTGAGTAACACTATACCCACCAAAAACCGGGTGATATAAACTGCTCTTTTACCACGCTCGTATAAAACGAAGTTCAGCAGCTGAAATTTTATGATACATGTTTACCAATGTGCTGAAAATATGATGATAAATATGTATTCCTGCTCTCAATTGACATTAGTATTTTTATGAGGACACATGAAATCTTTTCCTGTTTTTCCCTACGTTTTTTAGTTAGATTTTATCTTTCAGCTTATTTAAGATATCATTCTACACATAACACATGTACATCTGAATATGTTTTCTCCCACAGGTTTCAACAATTCAGAAATCCAGTGTTGTGACCTAGATCCTACTACAAGAGATAAAAGGTAATCATGAACTGAACAATATCAAAATATAATTGCAGTGTAATTTTGAATCTTGTCATATTGGGTTCTCTTCTTTGAAAGAAATATTACATATTCTTATTTAGTCTTTAATGTATAATTCCTATCAAAACAAAAACTTTACGAATATTGGGTAACCAAAAGAATGTCAACAGGCATGTAATGTATCTTTATTCTATCTTATCTATGTACACATTCCTTTATTCATTATAACAAGTATAGGTATACTAGACCAGCCTCAGTAATGAATGCTCCTAAAACAATATAAGAAAACATTACTATAAATTTGAATCATGGAAAAGAAAATAACACTTTATTTCATTTCGTGCATCATTTCCGTGTTTAGAGATCGTAAGGATGAAAATTCTAATTTTCATAGTATAATGTTTCACTAGAAATCATTGATAGTTAAAAAAACAATATCGAAGAAACAAAACAAAGCATTGCAAAGAAACAAAGAAAAAATACAAAACGCAGACGCCATAAAATATCATATTTTAAATTTTGTAGAGGTTCCTGTTTCCCGATACCTGTTCCACCAAAAGACAAACGTTTCCATAAACCGTGTATGAATTTTGTTCGTTCTTCTATTGCACCGGAACTGTACTGTAAACCAGGTATGTATAAAGTAAAATCACAAAATTACTGAACTCCGAGGAAAATTCAAAAAAGTCCCTTATCAAATGGCAAAATCAAAAGCAAAAACGCATCAAACGAATGGATAACAACTGTCATATTCCTGACTTGGTACAGACATTTTCTTATGTAGAAAATAGTGGATTAAACCTGGTTTTATAGCTAGCTAAACCTCTCACTTGTATGACAGTCGCATAAAATTCCATTATATTGACAACGATATATGAACAAAACAAACAGACACAATAGGTAAAAATGTCAAAAATTGGGGTACAGCAGTCAACATTGTGTTATAATCTTAATCACTATAAAAACAAACAAATATGTAACAAAGAAACACAGAAAGGCATATAGACAAAGCACATTAGCAAAAATGAAAGACAAGAATACAAAAATTTACCATAGCACAATAACACAATGACGGGTATTATAAGTACAGAGCCACGTCAAATGGATATCACCAAAAATAGACTAAATAGTAAAAGTAATATTCAAAAAGACAAGTAAAAGAATACTATAACACGTTATTAAGATGATAAACAACGTCAGTACACAGAATCTATACTTCAAGACCATCGTGTATTATTTGTGAAGTTGATACGGAATATTTATCAACAAGGTCTTGGTATCTTCCGATGAACTTTTTTAGAAAAAGGACGAGACGTTTTTTATTCTGTTTTTTGTATCATTCTATTTCAGCATAAGGTGTCATTGATACTTTTCCTTCAATCGGGCACAGAAGAAATAAATAAACAAGTCAATGCGAGTAACTTTATATGGAGTATATTCTATAAACTTGTACATGTCATTATTTATAGGCATGCAAATGATTAAAATAAAGATTTCTTTATATTTTTCCTTATAAAATGAAGGAGTTAGAATTTCACGATTTTTTAAGAATTTATTTATCTTCAAATAAATACATTTGTTTTACTTAAGCACCAAGAAATCAGATCAACCAACAGTCTTCCTTTATCGATGGATCTATGGTTTATGGAAACTCAATGAAGGAGCAAACATATCTACGTCTAGGAAAAGGAGGTTAGCATATTTTTTGTTTAACATATGCAATTAGATTTTACAGCTTCACCCTTTGTTCAATTTGATTAATATATTTTTTTATCAGAGGAAATAAACTTATCATAGATACCAGGATATAAATTTTGAATGCCAGACGCGCGTTTCGTCTTCAAAAGACTCGTCAGTGACGTTCGAATCAAAAAAGTAAAAAAGATCAAATAAAGTATGAAGTTGAAGAGCATTGAGGACCCAAAATTTCGATAAGTTTTGTCAAATACAGCTAAGATAATCTATTCCTGGGGTAGACAATCCTTATTATTTCGAAAAATTCAAAGTTTTATAATCTGTTAATTTATAATTATGACAATATCAATGATAATATGATAAGGATATGATATAAAGGAAACCATTTCATTTTGGTCTATTAACTCGCAACGGTAACGGTATTGGTTAAGGTTATAGTCAAGGTAAGGGTTAGTTAGTGTTATTGTCAGCATACTGTTTAGTGTTATAATTGCTAATATTCACTGAGTTGAATGCAACAACATTAAACACGCCTTCTAGTTCAATCTGTACATCTTACATGAGGAATATAGCAATGATCATTTTCATATTTCGATCCCTTGATCATAAATTGAAATGATAAAAGCAAATCAACAATTTCTAACTTAATAAAATTCAAAATGGACTAAATGATTGGTAATATGATCCGCATGCTACATATGTATGATTATTATATATTAATGAGAGCATAACAAAATGATCATATATGTGAATCCTATGTTTGAATTTGAAAACACGAACGAACGAAACCTGATATTGATTAAGAATAGATTTTTGCATAGGAAGTTAGATTTTGAAAAAAGTTGTCGGAAAAGAAAGAAACTATTTTGTTTACTTTTTGCAGGTTTACTGAAGATGACTGATGGTGGATTTTTACCTCGTTATGAAGATGGCGATTGTATTATGGAAAGTCCTGGAGAATACTGCTTCGGAGCAGGTAACTAACTATCTTCCAGTGCTGAAGAGATACACGCGTGTTTGTACGAAGGAAAGCTAACAATGAAGGGGATTTTCATTTGATATCGGTATAATATAAGGAGTTGTGGTTTGATTACTAATGAATGAGAAAACTATCCACCGAGGTTCAAATGACGTGGATTTAACCAACTCACTGTTCTCAGTGCTAATCTTTTGTAGTATAATCTTATATCCGTTTTACTCTTCTTTTATTTCTCTTTATCGGTTTGTTAGTAGAAGTTGTCTATTAGACAATATGGACTAATTATATAATTTCCAATTACAAATTAATCGCATATCAGACGTTGAAATTGAAAATAATATACTAATTCTAAAACATTTGGATACAGGCAACAGTAGTTTACCGTGTTCAAATCATATAAATCGATAAAGAAGACATAGTAATACTTGGGTAATATTTTTACACGACACTGAAACATTGTACAAGATCAAGACTATAAACTTTCTTAAAAATGAACTTAAATATCTGTATTCTCTAAAATGATCACTCTTCGTAGGTTATTGCAAAGTTTGGCTTAAAAAAATTAGTGATAATATATGGATTCTTTCAAAATTATTTAATTTTATTGTCGTTTTAATTTCTAATATTTGGAAACTTCATTTAGACCTGACTGTTCTAAAAACTTGATATCTTCCCTAAAAAGAAATAATTCTTTTTGAAACGTGTTTTATATATACACTAGCCGACAATGCAGCAACTATCTTTGTCCCTGTTACCTTGAGAAACTAGAGTAATGGATGAGACTAATTCATCCTTGTACTTCAGTAGACAACTTAATTCATCCTTGTACTTCAGTAGACAACTATAAGATCTAATTCTTCTCCCTACCAATGCACATTAAAGTTGTAAAGATAACATCAAGGTACTATGTACCGGATTTCTAAATCCCACGAAAAACTTTTTTATCCATGTTAGGATCAAGTGAATGTTTTAAAGTTCACCTTTGATTTAATTTTTAATTTTTTTTTTGTCCCTGTACGTTATATAGCTCCTAATCTATATCAATATTCATACATCATTGGCTTTCAAATGTTTAAGTTTGAGCGATCCTGACGACTGTTAATCTGTGAGTTTGACTGTCCCTCTGGTATCTTTCGTCCCTCTTTTTTAATCCTTCGGAAGCACGAAATGTGTAAAGTTTTATTTCTAATTTCCATTTCATTAGACTGAGTTATGTTGTTGCTATGTACATAAAGAATGGATAAATTTAAAGTCGATAGCGACGCGTCTCGTTATAAGATGTCGCTGTGTGATATACTTCTTGGATTTAGAACATAGTCGTCATCTCTTTTCAGAATCAGATCATATATCGTCACTTTTGAATTCATACTTTGTCTACACTAATAACGAGTTACAACATTTCACGGACTATTGTTCTGACGTTTTTGTTTTGTTTTTATCGTTGAAGATGTTTTGACAAAGCTCTGATTCCTTACACGACTTTAGCTGTACTTTTGGTCTTTATGGTATATAAGCTCTTCATTATTTTTATAAGTTTTGGGTTTTCTAATATTTTGGCATCGAACATCACTGAAGAGACATTTGTTGTCAAAATGCGCATCTGGTGCAGACAAAATGGTACCGTTTATATTAATACTAGACATTGTAACTCTCTCATGTATTCCTCGTCTTGGTTTTAGTAGATCTTCAACGTTTGTAATAGGGTTTGAATTTACAAACATTGGGCCCGAGCATAACTGGACAGAGATTAATAGTAGAAATGAGCATTTTGAGCTGCAAAATTAGTACCATTAATGTTATTGTGTTGTGTGGTTTTATTGCTATTGTATTAATGTTTACCTCACACCTCTTCTTGTCGATAAATTATGTTAAATGTTTCACCTACGAATTTCTTGCACACAACACATGTTTTTAGAATAACCATCATCGGGTACACTCGAAACAAAAATAAATGAAAGCCACATAATATTTATACTCTTTCACCTGCTTATTGAACTGACATTGAATTTAAGAGATACATCCAGATTAACCGAAAGAAAATACTGCTGATTACTATTAGAAGTTCTCCCATGAACACGAACTGCTTACCTGTTACATAAATTGCGAGGTGATTAATATTGTATAGTTTAGGTTGCAATTATTCCAGATCGTATTGACCTAGACTGGTTGTTCTTTTATAACTTTTGGTTTTTATGATTTCCAAATGTAAAACATGTAATGTCAATTTAATCAGCAGTTATTTTCATTTTCATGCGAAGATTTACAATATCTACATGTACCACATAGACACATCACCAAGGTGAATAGTTTCCAGACGTAGATTGATGCATTAGATATACTACGAAGACAAAATGTATTTTTTGCCGTTATAAATTGAATAAAGAAAGAGATAACAAATACTAATAAAATAATAACATTCCGGGTTTTTATTTCATTGAATATTAATTAAATTTACAGGGGATGACAGAAACACAATTGTACCCTCTCTTGCCTTCCTCCACATCGTATTCCTAAGAGAACACAATCGATTGGCTGTAGCTTTAGGTAAAATTAACCCCCACTGGACTGATGAAATAATTTTCCAAGAAACCAGAAAGATAATTGGAGGAGTTCTTCAACATATCATCTATTCCGAATGGCTTCCTCTTGTTCTTAACGACGAATTTATGACCATATATGGTCTTAAATCTGTATATGGCAAATATAATACAGTTTACAATGAAAAATTGGACCCAACTACAGCAAACGTTATGGCAGCAGCCGCTTTCAGATTTGGACATTCAATGATTCCAAATTTCCTTGGTTACGGAGGTCCAGGGGGTAACAAGATTGCAGAATTCCCTATATACAAAACCTACAACAGACCCGGTGTATTGATGTCACATGGAGGCAAAGGAAACGATTGGATAGGAGAATGGATGTTGGACGATAGTCATGCTAAAAGTGATCGTGTTGTTAACGACGGTGTTAGAAATTATCTGTTTATGGATCATCATGGAATGAGTTTTGACTTGGTATCATTCAATATACAGAGAGGACGAGATCATGGTCTGCCTCCATACAATGCATGGAGAAAGTGGTGTGGACTTCCACCAGTAATTCATTTTGGTCATGGACCAGGTGGTCTTGTTGATCATGACAAAGACGCAATTATACGACTTTCCAAAACTTACAAGTAAGTGGTCATTTCAATATTTAAAAGTGCTAGGATATAGTTGTATACACGAAGCCTTTGCTAAATCGAAAACCTGCTTACGCAGAACCTTTGTACAGAAGATGCACATAATTAATATGAAAATCAAGGATCAAGAGCTGTATAGCCAAATAATCTAAGGTCAACTTTGCCAAATGTTCTACCTGAGTAAACCATTCGAACACTTGGCTTCTAATAACATAATGATTAGTTCCGAAAAAAAAATTGTTTAGACTATTTTCGTTGCATTCTTATCGATTTCAGCGTTCAACACGTGTTTCTGGAATAAACATCAGAAGCAAAACATTTGGAAAAGAAATTAAAATATTTGGGATTCCCAAAAAACAAAAGGACCTGAACAGAGCTGTCGATCACCTTTGCAAGATGTTGTCCGTTAAAATTGACGTTTCTTAATGAAATACATACAAATATTAAAATAATGAATTTTATCCGTTTACCAGTCAAAGTTTCCACTGTTTTATTTATGTCTTCTTGGTTTTCAATGTCTCAAACAGTTTTTTTTTTAATTTGGCTTTTGCACCTTTAACCTGATTATGGTTATCGAGAAAGGTGTGTTATTAGCACGGAAATTATAGAAAAAGCTTAGTTTCGTTCTTAATTTGGTCTTTTAACTTTTTTTATTCGAGCGTCCCTGCTGAGTCCGTTGCAGACAAAACGCGCGTCTGGCGTACAAAATTATATTCCTGGTATCTTCGATAAGTTTTTTATACGTTTAATTTTTCATAGATTGTACACAGAAATGGTTAGATTTATTTGTATCATAAAATCTACATTTAATAATAATAATATACTCATATGTCCAATAATATATCCAATTTCTACATATAATGATAATATTCAAACAACATCGCCATCCAATTGCAAAAAATTCCTTGGTATTTGTACTTGTATTCGCCGTTTGATTTTATGCTGATAATAATACAAACGGTATAAATATTCCCATGTTTGCAATACAATTATTATGTTAAATAGTCTGAAAAATAATTCGATTTTCTCATATTATTTCAGACATGTGGACGATATAGATTTATATACCGGCGGTCTTTCAGAGAAAAGAGTTAAAGGTGGATTAACAGGTCCAACATTCCAATGTTTGATTGGAAAATCATTCGCCAACTGGAAATTCGGCGATAGATTTTGGTATGAAAATGACTTCAAGCTGACTGGATTCTCGCCTCGTAAGTATTCATGTCGACAAAATGAATAATTCATATAAACTTTAAATACACAGGTCTGTCATAAGGGCATATTGTGTAAATTCTGCTAATTTTTGTTATTGTAAAAGTTCATATTAACTCGGTTCTAGTGCATAAGAAACGATTTTCCTTGAATAATATCAGCAGGTACATACGAAACCAACAGTTTATGAAATGATAAGGAGTACAACAACCAAAGTCCTTAACAGAACAAATAAAAATTGTTTCAAGATGAACTTTGTCTGATGCAACTCACGGCTTAATTTTTCACACTATCACATTGTCTATAGGCTGTAAATTTGCGATAAAAAAATTATCATTCAAACCATGGAAGTACCAGAGTACTTACAATAGGGAATTAATAGATCACTAGTCGAAGATAGTACTGGCTATTTGTGTTGGGTAAATGTTGTTGGTGTCTCAGTGGACAATTAACAAATAGACAATAAAAAAATGCATAAAATTCTCTCTGATATTGATATATGTATAAGTTCAGTAAACTTTAGAAATCTTAAAATATTTACTAATAAACATTATTTAATTTTTAGGACAACTTGAAACCATTAGACATCACAAAATATCAAAAATTATTTGCCAGAACACCAAAATTCACCATATCCAGCCGGCTTCATTCTTACTACCCTCCAAACAGTGAGTATATTTATTCAATTTGTATGTTGTTATATTATATTATGATTATATTTGATTTAATTCATGCCTCAATTAGATTGCTAAAATTCTATCTAATTCAATTTTATACCTCATGGCTCAAATTGCTATAATTATATTTGATTTTATTTGTATTTAAATGAAAATATACCACTTATTATATAAGAACTTAAGATACTAAACAACATAATAATTTAACACACATTTACCAATATTTTCATAAGCAAACTTCATAGTTATAAGCAGAAATACCGCATACAGACTTAAATTTAACTATATAACTTCTCTGATATATTCTTAAGAATTTAAATCACACATTTATGTACATGTTTGCCTTGTTTTGTTTTGTTTTATTTATAAGTACTTTCCTATAAATTGATTTATGTTATGTTTTCAGTAATCAAAAGATACCATGCCACGCTATTCCAGACATTGATTTATTGGCATGGGCAGAACCAAGTGAATTGCGTACAAACATATTCTTCCCCGTTCCAGCTAACCCGGTCCCTATCTGGGCTACTCTCGGACCAGTACATTTCAAAGAAGCCTACAAACACGTGGCAGCTTACTAAGAAATAGTTCTTAGTGAAACATTTCCTTTTGTACGCAATAATAATGGGATTATTTTGTGGACAATTAAGATGGTTCTTTTTTTATAGATGCTTCAAATGATATCGACAATATCTTACTCAAAGGAATTTGATGCATTTCAATGATAGGAGAAAATAAACAAGACTGTTTCAATTAAAATGCATCAAATTGCTTACGTCGTGGACGATATATCGATATGGTAAAGGCTTATCACATGCTTTCTTAGCATAATATTTTTGGTGGTTATTACAGTTTGTTTTATATCAAATGATGTTGTTTTGTTTATCAAAAATCACGTGACTCGTGACGTACGTTGTAGTTCCAAAAACTACAATGTTGTGTATGCCTTATATTCCAAAGGGACAAAAACTAATACAGAAAAAGAATTAGATATTAATAATGCAGTCGCTTAATTAATACACTACAGGAGAACCCTGCCGTCTTAGCTGAAGAATATCTTGTCGTTAGTATTTTTAATTTTGATAACGTCTGTGTTATTATATTACAATGTGTAACTGTTTTATAACAATAACACAAAATGGATACATAGAAAGTCTTATTCATCATTTCAAAAGAACTTATTGGTATTCACAACTTTGCAACATAATACTACGGATTTTTGGTTGTTGTTGCAATTATTAGGCCATCTTTTTTTGTGGCTCAAATGACTCACAGCTTAGCGGGATAGTGCGATTGTCATCACAGTTCACTTGGACATCCATCATAATTCAATAATCCTTATTCCATTGTTACACCAACAATCAATACTTATTCAGCCCATTGTGAAAAGAAAGCGTGTATTCCGTAAAGATCATAGAATAAAAGTTATAGGCGTAAAATAAAATAAAATACACAATTATAGAGCATATTTGGTTATTTCTTAAATCACATAATACGAATTCAATAATCTGATATTAGCAATTTCTTTTCTAATTGAGTCCATGTCAACTGAATTAACATACACATGTGTTACGTACATTGCGAATTATCTTAACAGTTGTAGGAAGAAGTTTAACTAAATGTGTTTATATTAAGAATTGTTATTCATTTGTGTTTAAAAAAAACACGCATAATCAACAATTATTTCCTTATAACTCCAAGATAATTACCAATATTCCAAATGTCTTTATACTGCTATGTTGAAATCTAAATCCCAACAATTCCATGTCTTGGATATTTATGTCATGGAATAGAAGTTCTATCACAATTTTAGTTCCATATAGAATAAATGTGGAATATTTTTTTTCTACTTAAAGCAAATATTATGGACGAGTATTTATTCCTTATAGAATAAAGAGTACAGAATATTTGTTCCAAATAAACTCATTATAAATACCAGGATTACAATTTTGTACGCCAGATGCGCGTTTCGTCTACAAAAGACTCCTCAGTGACGCTCGAATCAAAAATGTTGAAAAGGCCACAGGGACAGATATTATAGCCTTGCGTATAAGCAGGTTTTCCAGAGGAACTTCTGTTAAGAAGAATAACTATATGTAAACACATCTATAGCGATCACTAGCCTATCAACACTGAGGTCGTACCCCGCTCGTCGTGAGTGAATTCGACTGCCATCTTTATTGACAAGGATTGCCATTTGTTCCGGTTAAGGTCGGTTATTCTCTCCGGGTACTCTGTCTTCAACTAGCAATAAAAACTGGCCGCCATGAACTAGCAAAAGATGTTGAAAGTGGAAAAAAGCACTAACAATCAATCAACCATTAGGAGTGGTTGCTGAGGGGTAAATGCTGAACAGGGTAAAAGAGGGACGAAAGATACCAGAGGGACAGTCAAACTCATAGATCGAAAACAAACTGACAACGCCATGGCCAAAAATAAAAAGACAAACAGACAAATAATAGTACAGATGACACAACATAGAAAACTAAAGACTAAGCAACACGAACCCCACAAAAAACTGGGGGTAAATCAGCTGGTCCGACGTTCGTATGTTAACGAAGATCGAAAGTTCAAGTCTTATGAGTATGTTTCTTCTGTGGAGAGTGAAGTTGATAGAACCCTCTCTTTTTTACATTGAAGTGGTCTAGTTTCATTTTATATGAACCCATGTAAAATGAAGCATCTAAGACGACAATTCATCAAAAACTAAATACTACATATTCAAATAAGATAAATGTCTCCTTCGCTAGCTAACCATTAGCATCAAAGTTTGTTAATCAGTCCCCTTTTGTGTCGAAGGTCCGATGTTTGAATCTCAAGGCTGTATATGTTAATTCTCCCGAAAATTTTGCATTTGACCTTTTGTTAATTTTGTTTGATTTTTTTTTTTCTTTCTGTTTTTGGTGTTTAATTTGTTTTTGTTTAAGTATTGTATCTTTGATTTCGCTAATTTAACAAGGAAGATCAATCAAAAAGAACAATCTAAAACTAAAAAAGTATCAATGCGACTATGGGTAAGGGGAAATGTTGCAAATCTTAAGGAAATTTACAGATACAGACAAACCAAAGACCTGTACAAGGGCAAACAACAGACGACACTAAAATCTGAATTTAATTACACTTGTTATTGGACAGATGTTAAAACACATATATCAATAAAACGACTGAATCAATGATTTTATAAAATTCACGGTCAAGTTATATAATACCAATTCGAAAACGTATGTAAAAGGTAAAAAAAGAAGTTATTAAATGGATTGACAACTTGTAAACACATTAACTTTCATAGATTGGCATGTGTATCCTGTGTACATTTCTATTAGTTACGTCTCTATCTTTCAAGATGGGGTATGTTTTAAATTGTGCTAATGCAGATACATTTTTTTTAAATTAACACCAATTTGGAAATTGTGATTTTTTTCCTGCTGTGATGAAACGAAGAATCGTTTGACTCAAAAGACAAGCTGAGTAAGCAACAAATACCTACAACAATAGACCACAATTTTCGATTGTTTTTCTTTTTTTCTTTTTTTTTTTTGTATACGTTTAGTTTTAGTAAAATTCTCTGAACAATATTCTTAATATGTAAAAAAGAACACAAAACACACAGAGCGTTCAATGATTATTTTGCCAGATTTGATATCTAATATTAACTGATTCTAAACATTACACAACAACTTTTGATGGATTGAAAGTTTACCAAAACAAAAAAGAAACAGGACACAAGATGAATAAGAGGAAAGAACACATTACAAGCAAACAAATCAAGATAAATTGCAGTCCTGGCATTTATAGTCAAGTTTACAAGCTTCAATGTCATAGTTAACAAAAAAGTTGAAAACATAAAGAATGCAACTGTAATAAACTATGACATCAAAGTCACGTAATGTATTATCAAACTATTAAACCAAAGGCTCTCAAAGTGTGATAATTTTCGTTCATTGTGAAACGTAAATACTGGACAATGATACACTGAATTGCGACCTGTGGAAGTTTTCGGATCAAGTCATATTTGTATGATGATTTTGACCATTGTTAATTTTAAATAGAACAAATTTGATACCAGGACTTCTTATATAAAAGCAGGCGGACAATACCAAAAGGAGAATAAAAATTCATAAGTTGAAAAGAGACCGACATTATCATTACAAAAACGAAACACGGCACAAAGATAAACAATATAAAATATGAAGAGTAGGAATGATTGCTAATGAGACAAATATCCAATAGAGACAAAAAGGCGTAGCTGTAATCAAATATAGATCACCGTACAGCCTTCAACAACGAGCAAAGCCCATACCGTATCGTAAGCTATTAAATGCCCCGAGAAGACAAAATGTAAAGCCATTAAAACGAAAAAAAAAAAAAATATATACAATAACGGTCAATCAACTCACGATGGCGCCCCCAAATCTTCCGAAGAGGTGACTTGAGCTTTATTACTAGAAATCCGTGGTTTATCAGCTTCCTTGTAGGCAGCAATCCTCTATCAACGAAAATATGATAAGAAACGACGGCTCTGTAATATCGTATCAACTGGGAGATTTTAAAAAAAAAATTTTTGGTGTTTTAACGCCACTTTTATGCACCGCTTTTGGGCTATTTCGCGGCGGCCAGTTTTTATTGGTGGAGGAAGCCGGAGAAAACCACCGACTTTCGATAGGAAAACTGACAATCCTAGTCAATTAAGATTGGAGTCGGAGTGCACCCGCACGAGCGGGGTTCGAACTCACAACCTCAGTGTTGACTGGCTAGTGATTACAGTAGTAATTACTTAGACCACTCGGCCACTGAGGCCCTTCAGCTGGGAGATATATACTCCATATGCTAAAAGGTTCCTACATAGAAATTAAAAGTTTACAATTGGAACTCTTTCTTCAGTCCTGTTTGGCGTTACTACTTACTTTCCAAATCAGTATTCGCTTCCATTACGATATTTTCCTTAGCACACATGCTATAAGTAAGAAGGTTTGTATGTTTATCGGTTTTTTATACTGCTTTTTAAAGGTTGACTGAACATAATACATATAAGTACCACTTGACAGAAGTTTTTTTTTATATTTTAACAAGTCTAACCCTTAAAATACAGATGAAGTGTGATTATGACTGATTTGACCTTCACTGATCAAGTGTTATACCTCTTATTTGTCCATAAAAAATGTTTTTAATTTGTTTTTGGCTTACAGGATGATAGTAAATATTCCACTTTACAGAATATAAAACAGAAAGGCATGGACATAATATTCAGGTCCAGTTCGATTTAAAGAGTGTGTCCATTTACTGTTCAAGTGTTTTTCTACAGGCCGAGGGGTTTCAAGTTTTTGAGGCTGTATTTGGCAAAACCTTTCGGAATTTTGAGTCCTCAAGGCTCTTTAACTCCGTACTTTTTTGGCCTTATTAACTTTTTTTGATTCGAGCGTCACTGATCAGTCTTTTGTAGACGAAACATGCGTCTGACGTACAAAATTTTAATCATGGTATCTATGATGAGTTTATTTACAACCACTGGGTCGATACCACTGCTGGTGGAGGTTTCCTTCCAGAGGTATCACCAGCCCAGTAGTCAGCTCTTCTGTGTTGATGTGTTTATCATTAATATTGTCATAATTATAAATGAACTGTTTACAAAACTTTGAATTTTTTTACTAAGGATTGTCTACCCTTAGTAAAAGATTACCTATACGCTGTATTTGGCAAAAACTTTCGGAATTTTGGGGTCCTCAATTGCTCTTCAACTTTGTACTTTGTAGACGAAACATACGTCTGGCATACAAAATTTTAATCCTGGTGTTTATGATGAGTTATATACATAGTTGTTGAAGGCAATTATGGTGTATTTTTCAGCAGTCCAAGGGAAATCATAACGATACTGTATTGCCTCCAGAACCTGTGTGCTTAAAACATTTACTGTAAATAGTCAAAGACCAAATCGGCATTAAGAACACTTCAAGGTCTGAGGATTCTTTGAATTGCTACGCAAGCATTCTTATTATACCAGATGTCAATATGTCAATTATATAACTGTCATGACAATATACACGTTATCACCGCAAAACCTAGTAAGATGGGTCTTTTGCCATCTTCGATTGTGAAATAGTAGATAACAATCTGTCTAGATCTTTGATGAAAAATTAAAATTTTGAGAAAGAAATGCATTTGACAGATTTTTCATATAAATGAAGTTTTGTATTATTATTCCAACATCCCTTAGTGTAAAAAAGCTCTATGACCCATACTTTTTATTTCGTTTTAGAAAATAGCATAATGAAACACGTCATACAGGTAAACTACATTTTGGCAAAATATTACAAATTCTATTATTTGTATTAAACCCCCATGATGTCCCAGTCAAATCTACCTTAACACTGGATTATATTTTAATACACTTCTCTACAAATATTACAAATATTATTCTTGAAGTTTGTAGTCAAGTATTAAGAAAAAGATAAAGCACTTTACATTTATGCCATTTGGTCTCTGGTGGAAAGTTGTCTCATTGGCAATCATTCCATATCTTCTCATATTTATAAAGGAGTTAGTATGACAGTAGTATTTCTTGGTTCCTTCTCTTAAAATTGTAAAATTACTAAAACCAATCTGGAGTTATTGAAATTTGATGTTTTAGGTTTAGAATTTTAAAAATCGTTAAATTAATAAGAAATGCATCTCCCATAGCTCTGTTTCCTTTTTCCTTGACTTTAGTTTTAGTCCTCTCTGGTTTTATTAGGTCGTCCTCGTTTAGTATTAGGCTTTAAACCTTAATTATATTTTTATTTATTGATTGTTTAACAAAATTACTTCCTAATGACCTAATAAATAGTACTATCCTGCTTTCCGCACCATCTGATGTGTGATTTTGTTCCACCCAAAAATAGTCAGATATTATACTAGGATAGAAAATGAGTAGTGGTTCTTGAACAAGGACATACATTAATCAATTGCTTTCAACCACAATCATAGTGGAAATAAAAACATAACTACATAATTTATCATCCTTTCTTTTTTTCAACCAAAATGATAATAAAATTGTACAATAAATTATACAAAACTGAATAAAAAAATAATATATAAATCATTACCTCTGTCTGACATTTGAATGGCTATAATTACAATGTGGTAAATTCCACAAATTTACCATAAGTTACAAATATGTCTGGAAAAAATGATTCTCTGGGATGAAAAATATTTATGCTCTCTGTCTAATTAGATTGATTGATAATTAGTATTTAACTCCACTTTCAGCACAACTTACTGTATCGTGGTGGCCAGTTTTTATTAGTTGAAGAAACAAGAGTACCCAGAGAGAACCACGACCATCTGCAGGAAAACTTGCAATCCTAGGTAAATAAGATCATGCTGCCTAGTTAGAATGATTTCTACAAATCTATAGTCTGTTTTATAATTCTACAAATCAAAAGTCTGTTTTATAATTCTACAAATCAAAAGTCTGTTTTATAATTCTACAAATCAAAAGTCTGTTTTATAATTCTATAAATCAAAAGTCTGTTTTATAATTCTACAAATCAAAAGTCTGTTTTATAGTTCTATAAATGTAAATTCTGTTTATATATGACAAAGCATTTCTATTTTTAATATATATAATTATACATAAAAATACATTACCAGGTCAATTCCTTGACAACAATAGACATTCCCTTTGACCAACAATGATAAACATTACAGGTACAGAAAGGTTCATATGGAGGATGAGAAATACATCATAGCAATTACTTATGTATGTCTACAAATCTGACACTTGTGACTTTAAAAAAAGTATTGGTTAGTTGGTACCAATATTCATAGTAAAAAAAAAGTTTTTTCATGGATTTCAATAAATTCTTAATTTCTGACATTACACAAACCATTGAAAATATCTGTTTCCTTAGTATTCAAAGATCATGTAGAATCATGGATAATACCACTAAATTAAAGAAAACATTTGTGCAGTGTCTCATCTGCTTTTATAAATACATTCATTTAAAAAAAATCAAATCTCAAACTTCTAATGTGGTAAAAGATTAAGGTAAGTCTTTACAACTTTCTAAAGGAAAAAAATATAAGCAATATCTGTATGATGTTTTCAACACAATTATTGTAAAATAAAACAACCAGTTATATATAAGTGTTCTCCTCCTCTTTAATTTGATACAAAGCTTAATGAAAGTTAAAACAAATGGATATGGTATAAAACCTTCATGACATGAAATAATCCCTGTACATATGGAAATAAACAAAAGCAGAAGAACAACTTTTTAATTGTTGTTTTTCTTCTAACAGTCTTCAAACCTACTGAATTTGCTGTGTTCAAATTGCTTTTCAGAATTACTCTTCATCAGTAACATTCAAACGGTCAAAAATAAAAAACAGCTGCATTACAAATCAAGCCTAAAGGGAAGTACCCTTATAGTCAATTTTGTTTGAAAGAATTTGAAACTGTAAGTTTTTGCAAAATCACAAAATCTTTTCTCTGATAATAACATACTGTGTGTAATAAATATTAACAAGTGCCAAAGCATTGACTGGTGGGTGAATGATACCATAGACTGATAGTCTAGCATCAGTGTTATCAAACCAGAAGTCGTTAAAGATTGTTGATTCATAGTCACTTCTTGATTTATTGTGCTACAAATTCTTGTATGAAGCTACCTTAATATATCTGAACCCAATTACACAATGCAAACACTAGGATGATGTGTTATGCACAAATTATTTGTCACATTAAATTTTTTGCTATAAATTTCATATAAAGCTACAATTCTTTTAAAAGATATTGTGGTTATTTCTGGTTGGATGATTATGAACTTGATAATCATACAATGCAAAATTGTTTCGAATATATTTGTTTTTTGGCTTACATATTTGTAATGAGGTAATGAAACATTCTCATTCTCTGATGATAAAGGAAACAAAGAAAACAAAAACAACGGAAGACAAAATAATAAACAAATAAACAACCATACTTCAGAAAATTCTGCTTCTATTGGAACCAAGTTTATTCAAACCCAACCTAAAATACCATCAAAATATCTTTTGGGAAAAAAACATAGTTTTATATGAATGATTTAGTCAAAAAAAATACAGTATTGCAATTTTACAAATTACTATAGGACTCTATTGTGAAATGTTGTAAAAAAGAAACCAAAAACTTCTAAAAAATAATGTTATAAATAGAAAAAAAAAAAATTCAAATATAAACAAAATTTTGAACATACTATAGAAAGATGAAATTATTATGAGTTACGATAATGGTTGAACAATTTAAAAATTGAAATAAGTTGAATTCAAACTCCTTTAAATACTGCCCTGTTCAAATATATCAAGATTTATTATATCTATAAAATCAAATAAAATAAATTGCTTCGCCGAGCACAAAAGTTCTTTATACATAATTTAAAAGCAGTGTAAGGGAGGTAATTCAAAGTTGTGATTGAATTACCTCCCTTACACTGTAATTTGTACTTAAGTAATTGTCCATTAACCAGGACACCCTTGTTTTTTCTCACTTTTTTCCCCTAATTCCCAAACGGTTTGAGCCATAACCCCCAAAATCAATCCCAACCTTCCTTTTGTGGTTATAAACCTTATGATTAAATTTCATAGATTTCTATTTACTAATACTAAAGTTATTGTCTGGAAACCAAATGTCTTCGAACGTGATACCAATATACGACTAAAAATTAAATTTGGCATATATATAATTTTGAGCTTAATAATGGGTCATCACTGTGTATTAAATAAAAGAAGATAGTTAGTATAATTATATTGACTCATATGTGGCTGTTTACATCAAACCATGAAAGATATAAAATTATCATTGTTAATTTATCCTGTGCATTGGTATATAAAGTGAAAGCAACTTGATCTATTAGATATAATCATTAACTATGAAGTTTAAGAAAGGCAATATTTTAAGACTAAACCTTTTTTGCAGAGTACTTTTTGCACAGTTTTCTTTTTTCCTATCTACACAATAAAATCTCCATGTTTTGTGGAGATTGTAGCCATTTCCTTTAAAAATGAAAATAAAAGTATATAACCTCAAAACAATAAAAATCATATTTGTTGTGTATACATTCTTTTCAATTGAATTATTTCTTGTTTCATCCATAAATGTAATCCCATTTTAGCAAATTCATTTGAACAGTATTTACAGAAATAGTGTGAATATGACTATAAATGAAAACAAAACTTTAAGAATTTTGTGCGCTTAAACCACTTTTCTAAATTTCTCTTGATCAGAAGTGCTCAAATCCTAACACGGAAGTATGAAGTCATATACAAATTGATAATTATTTTGATTACTGTAATAATGTGAAAATAGAGGGAACAGCTGACAGGGTAAAAAAAAATGGTGATCAAACATAAATTGAATAAATAAAAGACAAACTATATTCTCACTAACTCTGTGTATCTAAAATAACTCTACAAATCAACTATATAAAATAAATTACGTAACAAATTATACATGGAATGATCACCTCACTTTTCTTATTAACAAATAAAAAATAAAGGGTTTATAAAATAGAGGTACAGATTTCACTATGAATGATCCAAAACATTTGTTTTGTGAAATTATATTTAAAAGATAAATCTCTGATTAATTTTTTCGTTGCTATCTCTATTTGTGTAAAAGCAATTTTGATGCTTTTAATTAAAAAAAAAAATACTTGCTGCACTGATTGAATAACACTCAAATCTCAACACTTTGAAGCAAATACATGAATTACACAATTATAAAATATAAAAAAAAAACTTTAAAGTTTTTATATTAAAAACCAGCTTTCAAAAACTTTAATTTCTATTATACTGTGCTCATTTCAAAATCAGCTAGAAATTTGAAAATTAAGGGGAATTTTTGAACATTCACTGACAAAAAAGATAAAAGAAAGTGTTTAAGGCAAATAAAACTGATTTTTTTTTCCAACAGAAAGTAACGATGTCAAAATGAATAAAATAAACTAAAACAGATCTTTGCTAACTTTTGACGTATTGTTTTAAAACTAGTAAAGACATGGCATAAAAAGAAAAACCTTGAACCTAAACAGGTTTTTTTATGTAATAATATCTATACAGTGTTACCCATACAGTATAAAAAATACTGGTACAAATATATCAAAACAGTTAGACGAAAACTACAAACTGACGTACAGACATCCCCTGCCTTTTGATTTAACATGAGTTATCTCCTGTATCTAAGAGTTATTTCCTTTGATAAGAATAAACTAATGATTTGTATCTTTCATTCACATTCAGTATAAATGTAATGTACCTAAGAAAAAAAATAATACAACCAAACAAAAGTATGCATTTGATGAAAATCATCTATGCAACATATGTCGAATCTCTTTTCATAGAAGCACCATCAACGCTCTCAATAATTAATAGTTTTTTTTAATTCTTAATTTTGATGAAAACTGGAAAAGCTCTTAGATGTTTGTACAAAATAAATTAGTCATCATTCTGTATAAAAACATCACGTTAGCCTCTCACAAAAAAACAAATTGTCTAATATAAAAACAATAAAAGGAAGACTTTGCTCTATAAAATTCAAGTAGCAGATTGATCAAAATTTTACATTCTAAACGATGACATTAGATTTTTTTTAAGTGATGAAAAGAAAAATTTCAAACAAAATTAATATCTTTTACTGAAACATTTTCTTTTATGCATTTTCTTGAAAAAATACCACTTTTATTTTCAAAATTAATTAGAGTTGTCTGTGTTGATGCATCACACTTTTTAATGCATATAATAAAAGAAGATGGAGAACACATTAGCCATCAATTACAATTGCAGTTGAACTTTTAAGTATCTTAACACTTGAAAAATAACATGCTACAAGGGGGTGTTAAATGACCTTGACTTCCCATGAGGGTCTTGCACTGTCGATAAATAACATGTATCTTCTGAAGAATTATACATGAAAATAATTCCTTAATTTCTGTTACTAAATTAAGATAATTAAATTGACCAGTCTATAAGAATATTCTGTGCAAAGAACTCATAGGTCAAATTTGGAAATAAAGAAAAAAAATTATGCATTATTCAGTCTAATGAAACATTAAATGTTTGCAAGGGAAATAACTCTAGCATCTGTAAGTAATATAATTTAAATCAAAGAAAGAAATACAAAAAAATTATGCTGCTGAACTTTACATACATACATACATACTTGCATATGTCATCACCTGAACATATATTCCTTCTGAATGTTTGATACAAACTTTTTTGTTGACTATCTGTCAGACACTTATGCCCATAAAAATGAATGAAATGGTTTACCCAGAAGTATGTATAGCAAACCCAAATAAGATGACAAATTTCTTAGATTTTTCTCTTCTGACTTCTATAATGGTCCCACAAATATCACAGTTCATTTTTATAAATGCTAATTAAAAGTAGAGAAATTTTGACTCATAGACACATACTCCATTATACAACCCATTGCACCAAAGTAACCCTGAAATGGATAAAAATAATAATTGAAAAGATAATTGGCATTTTGAAGATGTAGAGTGAATTGAAATTTACACCTATTTAAGTCTATTTTAGTCTGCATGGCATTCCTTAATCAGGTACCATCAGACCAAGTTTGGGAAGTTAAAGACCTACTCTCCAAGATACCTCCTTACAAAAGTTAAATAAATGGGGATTGTGTCCATGGGACACAGATGATGCCCCCACTTGCATATAATGTTATAAAGGGACATAACTCAAGAACTGTAAAAGTGATGCTACCCAAATTTGTACTTGATCTGAGTTTTGTGGTAATAAGCATTGTTTATAAGTTTAAAGAGCACTAAAATAAAAAAATGCTCAACAGAACAGCCAAAATTCAATGTAATAAATATGAAATTAACTTTATTTTTCTTATTCTTTTGAAGTTTCAATCATTTCTAAACATATTGTTTACCTCAAATTAATACAACATCACAATATGTTAAGTCAACAAATAACTATCAAAATTTTTTTTTTCAACAATTGGATAATCTAGCTATGATTGGTAGTTACTGAGAAATAAGTGAAAAAAATTTCATATATCTGCATGAACTTTTTTTATTATGTTATCACTTACCTCGTGTTCTAAGAACAAGGCTTTTAGAGCACCATCTGACCAATATTCCATAGCATAAGCTAATAACTTCATAGATATAGTATTTACACGTAGAAAATTTCCTACAAATACAACCTTATCTATTTTCTGAAAAGTTGAAAAAGAAAATTAAGTTATTCTGTTCATATTTTGCGAAAGCTATATATCAACAGCATTAGGACAGAAACTCTATTGTCTATGACTTCAAATGCATAAGCATACGCATCTGGTGATAAAAATACTTGTGCAATTTTCTAAAACCATACTGGAATGTCTGTCCTTTATTGGTGCTAGATTTAAATATAAATTTTCTGGTTTTTGTTAGGCTAGCGTAGCGGCAAAATAAAGGAGTTTTTGTATTGAAGTTTTAGAGCTTATTTGTATGGAAATTCTCACAACCAAAATTTTACTTTTCATTATTGTCAATTTATTTTTCATTACTGATGCTTGCTAGTTGTAAAAAGATTGCTTCCTGTGTCACAAAAAACAATATTAAATTGTTTACAATCACTTCTCTCTTTGCATTAACAAATTGTCTGTCTTCAGGTCTATTAGTATTTTATGACCATTTTGAAAATCAAAATCCTTACCTCTGTTGTAGCCACCATCCTTGCTATAGAACCTATATTATTCGTTATTGTTACAAGTGTTGATCTAGCTAAATCACTTTTGGAAGCTTGCTCTCTTTTCTCTTGTATATTCATTTGACCAAAACTGAAATATGAAATGAAATTACTTAATATTGAATGATGGAGTTCATAGTATATTTTTTAGTTGCCTTTATTTGTACCCTTTATTATATTACAGACCTTCATTTTTCAATATCTATCATTTCAACAACTGTGGATTTATTCACTATTAGTATTAATCATTCATATGTCAAAAAAAATTCTGTAATTGATATATTTTTTTTTCTCTTTTTATAATTGTTGACTTTTTTAGGCATGTACAACAGATTTTTTTTGTATCAATGTTGTCTGTTGAGACCAAAATTAGTCAATGACTAATGCTCGTTCCACAAATTTCATATAGCATCCTGAAACATCCTAATGAACAGGAAATTTCAAAATAACATTTTGTTTCCAAAAATTATAGCATCACATCCATAACATTCTATAAGAAATTCATTTCAGAAATCATAACATTCATGCAATATAGTATCACAATACCATGTGGCTTCAAGGTCCTCGGGGACAACATTGTGAGACATTGAGGCCAAGGAACAGTAAATGTGCTTTGTCACAGATTCTGGTAAAATTTTGCATACAACCTTGACTCGCTGAACTAGAACAGAAAATACAAAAAATAATGCATTTATCTCTTCTATTCTCTGAAATATAACTAATTATAAATTCTTTCAAAACAGGCAAATATTTGTATATAAAGCCCATAAAATCTGAGAAAAAACGTACTTAAATTTGTCTTAAAATCATCATTCTCTAATTTTTTATTCATAGATTTTTTTTTTAAATATATGTTGTGGACACATAAATTTCCAGTTTAATGATATAAAATTATCATATGGTCACCGACTTCGTTTTTGGTGTGTAGTGAAAAAAAATCGATGTTTTACGCCTTACAACAGGATGATGTTACCATCGCTTCAACGTTTTGTGCTATTTTTTCACCTAGAACACCACTTTGAATGAAGTATACTGTGAAAACAAAGTCAGTGACCCTATTATTATAACACATCATTAAAACTGAAATTTATGCATCAATAACATATAATTTTTTAAGAGAAATCTATGTATTTGAAATTAGAAATTTTATGATTTAAAGACAATTTCTAGAACGTTTTTCACTGATTTTATGTGCTTTCTATACAAATGATCAGCTTTTTTGAAAGAATTCAATCAGTAATATTTCAGAGAAAAAAAAAGATAAATGCAAAATTTTACCAAAATCTGTGACATAGCCCATTCACTGTATTAAACTTGACCTTAAGTGATACAGCTTGGCTAAGAAATATAAAATCCCAGAAGCATTCACATCTAACAGGTATAGATGAAGTGGAGAACTATTCAAGAACTTTACCTGCTAGCTACAGTTGCGCCTTTGAGGTTAAATCTGCTATAGTCCCCACCATATATATCTTTGACTAGTTTGTCTACTTTATGTGAGTCCCCTTCAGCAGCTAATGCTATTGCTTCTTCAAAAGTATTACAGCCAGTTAATAAACAGCATAAACCTAGGAATGTTCCTCCACCCAAACTAGAATAAAAAACAAACATATCATAAAAACAAAATGTACTACATGTACTACCTACCGTCTTTTGGTATGTATAGTGCGCATTTGTGTATTGTGCGCACCCCCTTTATGGTCAAAGAAACTTGAGAAAAAAAGTTTCTTGTTCGTATAATACTCATAGACATTTTCGAAAAAGTCACAGCTCCAAAATCGGCAAACAGGAAGTTTACCGGTAAACTGGAAGTTTTCTAAATGGACACCAATGTCGGAGAATTGTTCATAAGAAAGCAGTTGTATGTAGCAGAGCTTCTACTAACCATGCTAACTATCAATAAATACTATGGGTTCATTTTTTTCTGCACTTTGTCAAACATTTAAATTTATGGTTTACTTATACCCTTAAAATCCACAAAATTGGTACCCCCTAAATAATAATGAATTCACAGTACTCCAAAATCTCCAACCTTAAATAACATATAGTGTTTCATCTAAGCATGTTACTAATGGAAAATGTCCATGCCTTTTTTAATAGGACCATGTAATCAAATACCCTTCTCAAATGGTGTCGACATGAACTTTGTTTGTATGTGCCTGTCCCAAGTCAGAAGCCTGTAATTTAGTGTTGCTGTTTATCATATTTCACGATGAATTAAAAAATCTAAATTTGTTTTTAATTCATCGTTCTTTACAAAAATCAGGTCATTATTCTTTTATATTGTCCTACATTTGTCATGTGGGGGCCTTTTACAGCTTGCTATGCGGTTTGGGTTTTTCTTATTGTTGTACGGTGACATATAGTTGTTAACTTCTATGTCATTTGGTCTCTGGTTGAAAGTTGTCTCATTGGCAATTATACCAAACCTTCTTATCTTTATATTCAACTGCCAAAGCACTGTGAAATATTTTGGAAACTTTACAGAAACACATTTTTTTTTCTTTTATTCCTATAGAATTTTATAGAAGTTATCATTAATGATAATTTTGCAAAGTTATTATCCAAACCCTCAATGAATTTTATAGAAATCAAAGATTAATTTTTTTTACTGTGAATTCATATTTCAGGGGTATACATTCTAACTCAGGGGTATAACTCCCAAACAATAAATCCCTTTCTGTCAGATATAGCCCTGACATCACAATTTATACTTTAAGGTTATAATCAGAAAATCTCAAACCTGATTTTTTTGGGGTATTTTGGAAGTAGAATAACTCTTTATTCATGTTATTAGTTCAGGGAAATTTGATTATGTGAACTTAAACTCAAAACTCAGAAAAAATATTCTGGTTATCATTTGAAAAGGATTAATTCACTAATATTTCCTGTGATTATGGTCAAAATCAAACAAGACCAGCATTTCTTAATTAAATAAATTTGTTCATAATGTAAATACATTTAATAGGCTCATAAACTGAAAATCTGGCCTATAATTTTCTATGATTTTCTCAGTATTTACATATGTATATTTAACACAGTGTAATATCTATTTTAATCACATTTTATAATTTAGTGTATTTTACCTTGATCCCCATACTCTTTTATAGTCAAATGGTCCTCGAACAGCTAAGATACTGACACCTGATCCTATATTTACAACTAGATAAGGATAAGGATTATGGAAGTCAAACGGAACTTTATTCGAGCTGTTTGGTTTATCACTGTCTGCATCCTTCCAATAGTAACATTCTAATGGAAAATTACGATCTATATAATGAATACCTTTGATGAGACAGTCTAGTTCATCAAACTTATGTAGTGTTAAATTTATTCTCTGAAAAACAAATATCAATTAGAATTAATGGGGAATGTGTCCATGGGACACAGATGATGCCCCCGCTTGCATATCATATAAATTTATAAAGGAACATAACTGAAGAACGGTGAAAGAGATGCTACCCAAATTTGTACTTGATCTGAGTTTTGTGGTAATAAGTGTTATGTATAAGTTTCATAACATTTGGTTGAGGCTAACTTAAGTTAAAGAACGGAAACTTTTTCCATTTGTAAAGGGGCATAACTCTAGAACAGTAAAAGTGACTCCACCAAAATTCAAACTTGATCTGTATTTTGTATTATTAAGCATTGTGTATAAGTTTCATAACCTTTGGTTAAGGCTAACTTAAGTTAGAGAACGGAAACGAAAAATTCAGCAATTTTCATTTGTAAAGGGGCATAACTCTAGAACGGTTAAAGTGACAGCACCAAAATTCAAACTTGTCAGATCTGTGTTTTGTGGTAATAAGCATCATGTGTAAGTTTCATAACATTTGGCTGAGGCAAACTAAAGTAGGAGAACGGAAACGAAAATTCAGCAATTTTTCCATTTGTAAAGGGCATAACTCTAGAACAGTTAAAGTGACACCACCAAAATTCAAACTTGATCTGTGTTTTGTGGTAATAAGCATTTTGTATAAGTTTCATAGCATTTAGTCGAGGCAAACTTAAGTTATAGAACAGAAACCAACTTTGGGACATACGTACAAACAAGGGTAAAACTTAATGCCCCCTCCGCTACGGCGGGGGCATAATTAAAAACCTTGCTATTCATAGCTCAAATAAATGATCTTTGCAAGTCACCCCTAAATGAGTTTTGAACTGAAGTTTGTTTATGATATCCATGATTTAAGAAAATGATCAAAATTTTGAATGTGGCCTTTTGGGATCAACAAATCAAATTATTCACTAATCTAACAATGTCCAAGGCAAATGCTCTCACTTTGTTTTACATTTTAATGTTGAAATATTGCTTATCTTATAAGCTGTTTCTATAGAAATGGACAATTTATTTGCTTGTTTGTTAAATATGTACTTTTATATCTTTTTTTTACCTTCCTTGATGTTTTTTTCATATGATTTCTTATTTCTGATTTTTGTTTTCTTTGTTGCAATTATAAGAAGATGGTTGTTTCTAGAAGGTTTAATTCATATATTGACTTACCTGTTTAAACTCTGTTTCAAATTTATAAGCACCACCGCCAGTTGCACATATTGCACAAGCTAAAGTTGAAAAGTTTTTAGATTTGGCTAAATTAATGAATGCATTCATTTCACTGGTAGGAAATCGTATAAAATGTAAGGTCCCTTTTTTACCACCAATCTGCTGATTTGTCATTTCTAGATGTGTGTCTCTTATACCCGTATTTCCGTAAGCTATATTGCCGACCAAGTACCTGTGTATAGTTTTAAGTGTTTCTTTTTCCCCTTGTTGTTCTAATTCCATGATATCACAAGGTTCAAAATATATCAGCTTGGTTAGTGTTCCTCCAATGTCCATACCAAACCATGGCATAGCTGGATAAAAGAAAAAAAAGAAATTAAATTGTTCTCTATATATTCTTTTGCAAATTGAATTTTCCTTTCAAATCTAACATTAGCGTATTAAAGTACTGTTCATTTGCTTATGGTTATGAATGACAAAACATGTTTGCAGTTTTTATTTCATTAGCATGAAAATAAAGGTACATGTATGTAGGTTGACTTGTATGTTATATCAGAAATATTAATATTCACAATACACGCTTTATTTAACATGTTTAAGAGAACTGGAAAATATTTGTTGGGCTCAAATGCCCGATTGACTTCTTTTAGTATTTTTTGTAAAGGTACACAAATGTACACAATATACTTGTATTGCGATATGATATTTCAATACATTTTATACCTGTTTCAACATGGAAGCAATAATCTAAAAATATTTATTTTCATTCGAAATGGGGATGTTAAAATATTAGGTGACCCAATGATTTCTCTTCCTATCCAACATACCATCCTTTTCCAGTGGCAATCTCAATTTTCAGCCATTCATCTCAGATCTTTTACTTTGTAGGACCTACTGAGCAACATATTTATTGTTCATTAGATCTCAGTCTTCCTTAATTTTGCATGAAATACCTGCCACTAAACGTTGAGCAAACAACAATTTATCAAGCAACGAATTTTAAAAAATATTTCATGTATGCCAATTACAATGTGTATTTCATCACAGAAAATGAAAATTAAAATATAATATTTTCAAGTCATCAATAATGATTGATTCAGGTTCACATGTAGACAATAGAAATTAATTTAAGAACTTCTTCCCTCATTTTTCTGTTTTTCAAATACATATTTCAAGCATTTCTCTAAAATTTTGTGCAATAAGTGGTCAACAAAATATTAATAAACATGATTGAGAAATAAACAAAATGGATATGGATAATAACGTTTAAAAATTCTTTCCTCGCCTACCGAAACAATGCTTGGAATGAAAAATTTAATCTGACACATATAATACTTTACAACACGAAGTAGTTCATAGAATCGGCTGCTCTGCGTTTTTTTTATTTCTATTTGTACATGCATTGTTTTTATTTTATTTTTTTTATTTGGTGCCATTGTTTTATTTATATAATTGTTTGAGAGATTCTTTACGGTATTTATCAATTATAATAAGGTTTACTAAGCTAATCGGATAACAAGGATAAATATATTCTATTATTTTAGAGGTGGTTCAGAATCAGTTATGCATTTCACTTGACAAAGATAAAACAAAAGCGCTTGTAAAATTATTAGCAATGAGTATATTATCTTCATTTTTTTAAAGATAAGAAATTAAAAAAAAATCTATATTGCAAGGTTAAAAGTTGTATTTTTAATAAAGTTGTATTAAAACCATCGTTTATAACAATCTTAGAACAATAATTTTTATAAAATTACTTTTACATCGCTTTTCCTGATTACGGCTTAATTGACGCGGGAAAAATTATGGACGGTGGGAAAGTGCTGTTCTACAGAGAGGGATAAGTTTTGCAACGTCACAAATATGAAACGTCAAGATGCTTTTAACGCGACAAAGCAAGAAATAAACTCGGCAGCAAGAGGGTTAATGACCTTGACTGTGAAAACCCTATTTGTTCTGTATTCTGATAATTTTGGGGGATGAAAGGATAATCAATGAATAAAAGTTCCCTGGTTTGGTTGGTGTTCAGTTTGAAGAAAAAAATGATGTTCTAACCATTTGAAAGTGCACACTGTAGCCTCAATTCTTACATGAATAGGCAAGGCTGCTACAAATAAGATTTGCTTTTAAAAAGGGGATGTAACATAAAACAAAATTATAGTCAATGAATTTCTTATATGGACATCAATACTAAACAATGCTAAAGAGGGACAACTCATATTAATTTGATTTTTATTTTTATGAGTAAAATTGATTCCAACTTGCACAGATTGATCATTGACTGTTTAATCCCCCAAGTTTTTGTGTCTCGTATGGGCCTTTTGGTTTTTATTGTCCCAACCTGTTTTATGCTTTTTTGGTTACCAAACTTTTGGTCTCTACAGTCTGATATCATATGACAGTGCTGTATGTGGTGAGAGTTATTCCTGAAAAAAATTGTGCATCCAGAAAAGTATTATAAGATACATTTTAAAAGATAAGAATGTTCGCTGTATAGTTGAGTGCCACTCTGATAGTAAACAAGTTTTTTCAGAGTAAAAATATGGCATATTGGTATACATATGGTACAAATAACTGATATATATTGCAAAATAAGGGATTTATGACAATGAAGGGGATGGACTATAGGTGGGGGCTCAACACACCTATGCATAATAGTCCAAATAATTATGATGTGTCATAATTATTTGGACTACTATCATGACTATGCATAAGAGCTACGGTTCCGCAGCTAGCACCGTAACAAATCTCCCAAAATTGAAATTTTAACACCTGAACAAAAGCACATGAAAAGTTTTACAAAAAGTTTCCATAATGTTTAATCACTGAAATGTGACTCTCTAAACATACATGGCTTTGGGGCATCCTTTGGACTGAGCAAATCGCTGTCCATTCCATTTCCAAGGAAATCGTTGCTATCATGACCATTGACATCTATGACCAATGGTTTGTCTGACATCTCAAGTTTTTACTTAATTGCAAAATATGTGAATCAAATTAATTCATTGTAGCATACACACAGGTAAGACATTTTGGTTTTAAAAAAAGGATTTTCATAAAAAAAAATAACCGGAAGTTATGTAAGGATCTGTAAAGTTATATACAAACTCGGAACGTATTACAATTTCCGTATCTTAAACGTCACCCTAACAGAAATTCCCCGGGGAACTTTGTTATAAACAATGCCATATTTTCGGTACCTGTTGTAACAAATATTATATATCCTTAATCACGTTAGGTAAACATACTGTGATATCATAAGTCCATTACTAGGGCCCTAGTAATGGACTTCTGATCACTTCTGGTAATCGAACTGGTAATATTTGTTCCAGTGGAACTAATATTGTGTAGGAACTTCATGACAGCACATACTATTCATATGCGCCATATATAAATGATCTTTCCGGAGGCATGTATAGTATCTGGGTACTACATACGTCTCTCTGATCTTCCTGGTCATGTAATCAGATATCGAAATATTGTAACCATCAATGACAAGAAATGCTTTATATATAATGAGCATGAATCAAAAGTCAAGCCCTAAAATTCAAGTCAGTCTACCAACCTATCATATTTTCTAACATGTCCAAACAAATCAGAACTTGAGACTGAACTCTCGGAAAATCTAAAGGGAACAGTACTTAACATCAACAAAATAACAGTAAAAAAAATTTTTTTCCATATACTTTAACAAAGTATATATGTGTCCGACGACTTACAGAAAAGAGCGACGATTTACAGAAAAGAACAGAAAAGGACCGAAAAGGACCAAAAAGAATAGAAAAGAACCGAAAAGGAAATCTATTTTTTTTTTTTGCAATCGAAGGAGACTAGCAAATTGCAAAATCATTAAAGTCTATAAATGAAAAGATAGTTTCCAAAAAAACTTTTTTATTAGGTTTTGAAACCTTATATTGCGACAGGACTAACTTACAATTGAAAAATTACCCTCTTATTATTACAGGTAGGGTCGGATGCCTATCTTATATACTACAAATAGGGGCTATTCAAATGAATTTTGAAAAAGCTCATACATTAATTTATATGTTATATCTATTTAAGTATTTAACAATATCGACTGCATCTTTCATCCGCTTTCTCTTCCCTTTCCCAATCTGGTACTGAGATTTTTTGCCTCTCCAATCTGTATAGACTTAAACAATTTTCTATCTCCATGTGCATTACCTCACGTTTTTCATTCTCCTTAGATCTCTTGTTTAATTTCTCTTTCTACTTCATGCGTCTTACTATCTCTCTGGCACCCTTTCTCATTTAACTTATAAATATATAGACGAACTATTTACATATATATACATATAATTACACTAAATTGCGCACAGGTTTTTTTATTTTTTAATAATCTCCATGCACAAGTTATTGCTATTTAAAAAATATAATATGCATATGAACAAATATTTTAATAATAAGATTAAAATCCTTGATAAAAAATATAAATGATAATTTATCAAACTGGTCCAATTTTAATTTTTTAACTTCGACCAGGCCTTGGAGAAGACATTTTCGAAGAAAGAACTAAAATAACACTGAAGTGTACTTTCTAGCTCATCTAGCTTTAAGCGTCATGCCAAGTATTGTCATTACTTAAAACTATTGGATATCAAAAAACCATCAGATATCTTCTAAGAAACAATTTCGACATTTAAACGAAATCTTTTACTAATGATACTGGGAAGATCCATAACTAATTTACAGTTTTTGTGGTCAAACCAAAGTAAGAAATGACCACCACAAAGGAACATAAATAGAACCATACACATAGTACATGCATGCAGGTTGTCAGATACCATCTCGCATATTAAAATCACATCATGCAGAAATGACCTAATGTGTTCCTCTCCTAATTATGAGTTTTGCTGCAATATCCAAAATCAAAGTTGTGGAACATATTTTATTAGAATCGTTGGTAATCCATGCAATTAGTGTCTCCTCCATGAGAGTCTTCAACATTAAAACTAAATATTAAATAAACGACACTGCTAATTTTTAGTGTTTGGTACAGGTTGGCTATCACTGTACAACACAGTTTAACCATGGAAGTATTATATGTCAATATTATACTTCCATGGTTTAACATAGAACCCTATAAGAAAAACAGAGAACTATTTTTGTCAGAAAACACTGTCAAACATCCAAATATACTATCCACACTGATCTGTGTCCACACTTTTATAGTTTTAAAATAAAACTGTTATCACAGAGATATGTCTCGCCTTTTTGTAATTTTGATAATGCAAATGTTGAAATTAAAATAGCAATACTTTAACATGCAAGTTATGCAAATATTCAAAGTCGATGAACCATGACTGAAGGTACATGGCTAAACAATCTCCATGGAATGAGATGTGCCAATGCTAATACAACTGCATACCAAATACCATTGACTTATTATAAGTCGTTCCCTTTAAACAAACCTAAACACAAACATGACAAACATTAACTTGTGAACTATGTAAAAGTTTCAAAGTCAATGAATCATGATCAGGGGTGGGGCTATATAATCTCCATGGAAACAATACTTGCAATTGCCAACAAATTTGCATACCAAATATCATTGACTTAACATTAGCAGTTCATCTTAAACTGATCTAATCACAAACTAATACATGTAAACTAAGCAAAAGTTTCAAAGTCAATAGACCATGACTGAGGGGGCGGGGCCAAATATTCTCCATGGAAATGAGATGTGCTAATGCTTATACAACTGAACACCAATTAACATTGGCCTACCACTAATGGTTCCCCTTGAACTGACCTAATCACAAACTAATACATGTTAACTTAGCAAAATTTTCAAAGTCTATAGACCATGACTAAGGGGGCGGAGCCAAATAATCTCCATAAAAAATGAGATATGTCAATGCTTATACAACTGCATACCAAATATCATTGACCTACCACCAGTGGTTCCCCATAAATTGACCTAATCACAAACTAATACATGTAAACTTTGAAAAGTTTCAAAGTCAATAGACCTTGACTGAGGGGGCGGGGCCAAATAATCTTCATGGTAATGATATGTGCCAATGCTAATACAACTGCATACCGCCAAATATCATTGACCTACCACTAGTGGTTCACCATGAACTAGACTTAATCACAAACTAATACATTATTGACGCCATCGCCGTCGCCGACGCCGACGCCAGAAACAGCATACCTATGTCTCGCTTTTTGACTCCGTCAAGGCGAGACAATAAAACGAAAAACGCAGAAAGGGAGAAAAATCAATATTTAAGGACAATTAATATTAAGGAGTTGATTTCCAATTAAGTTATCTTAACATATTTGTTGGTCGTATATGGCTGATCTATTTCCGCTAACATTTTCTTCAAATCTATAATACTTTTCAAAAGTCAAAAATCAAGTTTACAGTTTATTTATTTAATGACAATTAGTCGCATCTGGGACTTACATGAATAATACAGTCTCTTGGTCACAGGTTGTTAATTCCTTCATTTTTTTTTAAATTCAAAGACTAATTGCTAGTTTTATTTAAAAACAGCAACATTATTTTAATAAAATGCTTATTGTATTTCGATACTATGCGAATAAAAGTCTTTGATGTGTTCATCAAAAGGCACATTTTGTTTTATGGTGTATAACAGGAGTGATTTATGTTGTACAGTGTGCAAATGATTACTTGTACATATATAAAAAAAAATTTTTTACTGAGTTTTTAACCAAGTTATAACACTGTCTTTTTTGTTTGTTTTGGTGTCCACATATCCCTATAAAATGTACAATCTAAGTTACAGTTATGCGTTCATTTATTACGAGGAATTGTTAACAATATCAAAATTTCGTGTGTATATAAATATGAAATAAATATATGTATGCTCTTTTCTGTTTCTTTTCGGTTCTTTTCTGTTCTTTTTGGTCCTTTTTGGTCCTTTTCTGTTCTTTTCTGTAAATCGTCGCTCTTTTCTGTAAATCGTTGGACCGAGTATATATAGGTGATTGTTTTAGAGACAAGTGCCTGTGCATTTTAATTGGGTAGATATATGTAAGACTCGCATCCATGGCAGGTTCCAGATCTATGACAGATTCCAAATCTATGGTAAGTATGAGGGACCATGCCATCCCTATGACAGGGTTCCAGCTATGTATAATCACCTTGTTATAGTTTCCAAAACTCTAGAAAGATTATTGTACTTGACAATTCTCAACAAGTGCTTTCTTTTTGAATGTCGCATTTAAACCTTTTAGTTTCTGACGTAATGGGTAATAGAGTTGAAAAATCAAGGTTGTCTTCATGGCGAATTTTGGTAAAAGTTTTCATATGGGAAATTGAAACTAATTGAATAATTATTTGAACTCTTAAGCGAAAAATGCTTATCAAGGTCGTCGAGAAACTCTAATGTAACCTCCCCCTTTTCTCTTCAATGAACATTTTAAGTACAAAACATAAAAAAACACAAACAAACAAACAATTAAGGAAGGAGTTATCAAAGTAAATGTCAGAATGTGAACGGATGAACACAATTCTGATAATATAGGAATGTAAGGTAAATAGTAACAGTACCATGCATGAGTACATATAACGTATAGGATAATTGTATATTAACTTCTGTATCTGTATGTTTACACAGCACAGGAACCGTTGGTAGTTTTCTTCGCACTCGAAGGAGAGCAACGGGATTTAATCCAACTGTTTGAGGGCGTCTCTGAAACACTATAATAATGTCTTTACGTACTTTGTATACTTTTGGTTTCAATCTATACTGGAACAGTTCAAAAATACTGTTTCATTGTTTGCACTGAATATTTTGGTTAGCTTTTGAATTTATTTTTTTGTCTTATTGTCGTTCAACAATGTTTGTTCTTATATTTTTTTGTTTAATCTACCTCTTATGGCTCATGAATGGGTTGATATGATCGCTCGGTAATGTGGCCGGAACATGCCTCTCAACCACTTTGTAAAAAATTACAGGAGTTGCTAAACATTGCTTTCTTCAAGGGACTTTTGTCGTGCTGAATGTATCAAATACGCAAGCAAGTTGGAATAGTACCACGCTCATAGCACAAACAAGACCCCTTCATTGATTGATTGATTGGTGTTTTAACGCCACTTTCAACACTATTGTGCTATTTCGTGGCGGTCAGTTTTTATTTGTGGAGGAAGCCGGAGTGCCCGGAGAGAAACCACCGACCTCCGGTAGGAAAACTGACAAGACCCCTTCATCTCAAACATGTGTATATATGGGTCAATACTGAGGTCAAATTTCAACCAAACAAAACCGTTCATATATATCCTGAGGCAGTCGAAACTAGTTCCGCTTTTGGCGTACAATCCTCCCTCTCTTTCCATTTCATATAAAATAGGGAGATGTGGTATGACTGACAATGAGACAACTATCCATCAGATACAAAATGACGTAGATGTAACCCACTATAGGTCACTGTACGGTCTTCAACAAACCCAACCAGAAAAGCAAGCCACAAAATACATGTTCATTGTATATCATCGTTTCATGTTCATCACCTATTAATGAAGGTTTTGAGTGCAGGATTATAAAATACAAACAAACAACAATTCAACATCGCAACGATGTAGTCTTTTTGCGTTGATGTGGCGTAAAGCAATCATCAATCAACCAACCAATCAATCAATCAAACTCGTAGAAAATATACTTACATTCACAATGTTCAATCATGTTTTTTCTCTTCGTAGGACAGTATAGAATGAATCCTTTTAGTCGATTACACAAAAACAAACGTGTTGCTGGTAAAATTCTTTTGGTTCAATATAATGCACACTTCTTAAATTCAATTTCAGCTTAAAAGATAAAATAACTTCATTGACATTCAAGTATGATGATGTTAAATGACATACCGGTACTCTAAAATAATTTCTGTTATATTGAAATATTGAATTTATATTAAAGTTGATATACATAAATTCCACTGTACTCAATATATTTATTTACTTACACCAACATACTGCATATACCCGGACCTTCTTAAGTGGACTTAAATCATATTAAAACAAGCCGGCTGTATTATCGAATCATCTGTTGTTGGTTATGATGTAATAGTCGGAGTCAAATCGATTTACAACCAAAATCATGTAACAGTTAATCCCTTTTAAAAGTGCCAAATTCTATTCTAGTGTTAATTCTATGTGGAAATGGGTTATTTTAATCAGGGGCTGAAACCAAAATTACTACGGTTAACTGAACTCCTGCAAAATCTACATTAAAGTTACCGGTGTAAGCTGTTTCACACGAGCAAAATGTATTTTAATACCCAACGAACGATGCAACAGGGCACCACATGACAGACTCTTCAAAGAGTTGTTTCTATGATTTTTAACACACAAACAATTAGTTTGACACGCAAAGAGCCTGGCACTCTCCGTACACGAAGCACCACATTTAGCATCTCTATTTATACGTATTCATACGTCACGCACAGGCTTATTTTGACCACAAGGCGTTATAAGCTTTTTCAATGGACTTTTTCCACATTGAAAAAAACTAAAACGAATTTATCTTCCTCGGCTAAGCGGAATAAAAAATAGTCTGTTCTGATTGTAAAAAATACGTTGAAAGATCCAGATAAAAAAATTTAAAAATCGGCTCACTTTGCCCTCGGGAAAACACTGTTTTTTAATTGTAATAGAGGGATGTAGTTATTTTTTGCACTATAGTAACGAACATTCCATTCGATAATACAAAATAAATAGTTTTATCGGTTCCTTATCTGTGCAGGGATAAAGAACGACACAAACAATACAACTCTCATCCAGTTCGCTTCTTCAATTTTTAAAGACAGTATTTTGACGAAAAGTTTTAACCTCCGCTTAATAGATGACATCCTTTATCCTTCACTAATTCGCCGTTTTGGTGACCTTCAGGGTCGCATATTCAGCTAGCTTTTAACAATGCCACAGAGACACTAACTTCTGTTTTGCATCTTTTTGATTTAATATGTTAAATATGTTAAAATTGCTATAGGAGTACGTCATAAACAGGGTTGGACATGATTTTAAATTCACCTGCTTAGAAGTGAAAAACTTGACCGAAAGCTTTGTCCTCATTAGACAATTGTCTATTGGTACATGCAGAAATGAACGACTTGTTCGAAAACCGGATGAAATAGATGAAAGAAACGTGCTTTCTGTTTACTTTTAATACTCAAGAATGACCATTGGCTATTTCTATGATTGAGGTTGTGACCAGTGTCTTCTTGTTACATTTTTACCTCTAACGGTCAGATATATCTTTTCTGGCCTCAAATTACTGATATTCGTAACTGTGATCATCTGTTCTAGATTTCGATTAAATCCGTGTAATCTTTTGCGTTTTTTAACGCGCAATGGCTTCAGTGTTATTTTAGGGTCTAGTATATAGATTAATGCCGCGATCACATTAACACGATTGCATTTCAGCTGTTACAAAACAAATTGTCAAAGACTTCTTATTTCCCGAAATTGAAGTTTACAGTTCAAACAATTTCAAAAGCGCTTTTGTGAAATACAAAATTATAACAGTGTCACGTACAGAACTGGGGCAATGACATTACTATTGTTTAAACATCACCGCGTTTCAAACTTTATGAAAATATCGCAATTTATATTATTATGATCAGACCTCTATATGTCAGTGGCATTAAACCGTAATTGGCTGTCGATTGAATTTAATACATTTGATTTTGACAATTTGCTTTCTATATATCAGCTTAGAAGTTATTCAGTATATTTACTTGCATCATCTGTCTTAGCTTACAATGAAAAATATTAAAAGCAACAGTATTTTCAGTCGAATGTTAGCAATCTTTATCGTTCTAAATTATGGCAATATTAGAATTCATAAACAATGTCTCTATTATTGTTAAAAAATCATAATTTATCTGATGAATTTCATAATGACATTGTCAAAGTTGTACGCAAGGACCTTTTTGATTGAGTCGAGTTTCGTGCTTTGGTCTGTTTTTATATATAATATGAATGTATAAACCGGTGCATGAACGAATGCATATCTTGCTTGTTTTGTCCTGAAAAATTTATTGGCATCACTTTCACACATATCACACAAACACACATACACACTCACATACATATACATCAAGAAATGAGAGAATGAAGAACAGCAACAAAAGCACCTTTCGTGGACATTTCCTTGTGTTTCATACCCTTTTTAATTGTATGTACACAAATCTCATATCAGTGCTTAATTTAACAATTCATCCTTCTTGACGAAATCTAGTAAATATTTGCAGGAATCTGAATGTGACCAGACTGAAGAATATTCCATCAACACGCGTAATGTTTAATGTAAGTCTTGTTGAACAAAAACAAAAATTCTCAAGGGCGCACGAAGCTGTACCAATATTTCCAATTTATTCGCAAACTTTTAAAGTCAGTTCAAAATTACTTTACCTGAAGTTGTTAATAAATCCAAAGTTAAAAAAAATAAAACAAAATGCAAGACAAACTTCATTGTGTGACAGATATTGATGAAATGCAATATATCGGTATCTACAATATAAGAAACTACTACCGATTACAGTTAGGTATCATCTGTAATATTAAAAACAGATTTAAGTTCTTTCATACGGGAGTTGTACCTTGTAATGAAATTAAAGTTATGCCAGTCTCTAATGGTAGAATCTGTTATATACGAAGTGCATGCAAGATCAAGGGTTGATGTACAAGTTCTGTAATGGTGCACAATGGCATCATCCGGATCTATCTCATATGAAGTATAGTTCTGACTGTCTGGCCATGCCCTGCTGACATGATGGATCCCTACTTCAAATATCTTATAAGGTTGAACTATCAATTTACTACGAATTTTACTGGTTCCTTCTGTTCTATAATTGTGTTCGAGAACATCAAAAGTAGTATTGCCTTTTGCTTCTGGATTTCTGATAAAGATTGCACTACGGAATCTGAATGCTGCGATTCGTCCATCCGAAGATCTTTTCTGTTCTATCAAATTACGTAAAGAGTACTCTGAATTGTGAGAAACTATATATTCGTCTAAGTCTGTAAAGGCTAGATATTTGAAGTAAAACATTCCTCGATATAAGCAATCGTTGATGGCAATGGATTGGCCATAATACCAAACGTGATTGCTTTCAACCGGAAGTACCCACGGGATTATGGTAATGGTACTACGGTCCTCTAGATATTCTAAAATGGAATTTAAGTTCGAAGAAATATTGTACACATAAAATATCAAATGATCTATGCCGAGTGCATTTGTTAGAGATATGAATTTAAGAAACTGAGTTGGTTTTATATCGCCATAAAGCGGAGGAATACAAACTCCAAACTTTCCAATATCTTCTTTTTCTTTTTCTCTTTTAGACGAACTTGTCTTTAACAATGGAATCATAGTGGATAGATGATTTCCATGTGACAAGTCATTATTTTTTATGAAAATTTTACAAGGAATAATCTCCAATTCATTCATTGGTATTTTGCATGATAATATCCATCCACCATGGGTAAAATGGTGATTTTCACACATTTCGTAGAATATCACCGGTTCGGAAAAGTACTTGTCTTTATTTGCACCATAAGCAAAATTACAAGAAAGGTTGAGGTTCTGTTTGAAATCTCGACCATTGATCATTGATATCATTCGTACATGTGGTATTCCAGTGCGGTTATCGAAGAAGGCCGAGTAAACATATACATTTCCAAGCGTATGGTATGGTCGCAACAAAAGTTCTTCGTAATCTTGATTTTGCATACAATTGTCAAATAAAGGATGACCTATTCGAAGTTGTTCTGGTCTTCTGTGGCTTTTCATGTGGCGAATCACTTGTTCAGGTCGTATCTTAAAATTGCTATCTTGTGTAGTGTGCAAATTATGCAGTAAATAAAATGCAATCATTATCGAAAGCAAGTATGCACAGAATACCACTATGGCAATTGTTTTCAATCGTGGACACTTCATTATATTCTATATTAACATATCATCTATTGTTAGTAATCACGAAGGAATTGGCGTAACTTGTTTCCATTATTATTAATTTATTCCATGTTGACAAATTTTAAAAGCAAATCACACACTATTTCTGTACTGATATTCAAGTCCACATACCGCATGCACTCAATCGTGTAAGCTCTTTAAAAATTAACAGTAAGGTTTGAATTTTTGATCTCTAAATACAAAGTAATGTAATACTTGATAATCAATAAAATTTCCAAAAGCTAGTTCCAGTTGTCTTTCTTTACAGTATATACAATAATCTAAACATTTTCTTTGTTGCATCCTTTTAGCGACTTAAAACACAAAGCAAAACTAAAAGTTAAAGATATGACAAACATCTAATAATGGTATGGATTTTGCACATTGTTGAAAGCTATACGGTGGCCTATAGATGCAAAAATCTTATAATGGTATGAATTTTGCTTATTGTTGACGGTCGTAAGGTGATCCATATTTGCTAATTTTTACATAAACTCTTAGGTCTCTGGTGGATATTTGTCTCAAAGACTAACACGACGAGTGAAGCTAATAAAACAAGGACTGTTTACCTTTAAGAGCACCTAATTTCCCCTCTAGGATTAAGGAGTTTGGTTTGTGTTATTCTTGCTTTAGTTTTTTTTTCTGTTACTGTCCTATTATATTTTTCAACGTCTTTTTTTGTTTTTTATGGTAACGGTGATGTCCAGAAAATTGTTTTCGTTTCAAACTTTTACATTTGATCATGTATTATATGGTAAGAAGGAGGTCTACATGTACCGATGATTAACAAATTTTTGCTATGTCTTTGGGTAAGAGAAACGATTTACAAAATTCGCTTTTGTATGGCTCTTTACTAGCGGATATGTTTGATGGACGGATTTCAACGGAAGTAACAGAGTAACTGATGGAGCTGAAACTGTCTTTACTTCCGAATACATTGAGTACCCTAAATGATTTCTATTGCAAAAATGAATTCGGTGTTCCAAATAAAGCTTCCGATGATGTCATTAAAACGCAAATGTTAATAGCAAAATAAGATATCAGTTTTATTTTTGTTGATCTTTTTTTAAACAAAATTCATAGTAATTTTCGAGGAATCACAATTTAAAGCGGAAAAGTATATTTACAATGCTCTGCATGTGTATGGTTTACCTTTATAGAATTTTCACAAATTTTAATTGATTATACCCCTAGATGCATACATGTTACACTGTCAATAACGCCTTCTGTAGAGAAGTTCCTGCAATTCGGGTATACTATAGAATAGATAAATTTAATCAAAAATATATGTTGTTTATGGTTCCTTGAATCCTTCCACAATCTAATTAAAATTTAGATCTCAGATTTCGTCATGCTCGTAAGAGTATAAATGAGTCACGATAGATCTGAATTTTAATCGGATGGGTCCTTCCATTAATTGTTGAGAGAAAAAATAGAAAGATACAAAAGCCTGTGAGGTTCGGATTTAGGTGATGGAAATCATAAATGAAGGTCTGGATGGGGTTTACAGAATAGAGCATAATGGGCCAATACTGCAGAAAAATGGAAAAAAAAAGAAAGAATAGAGAATAATGGATTGCTTAAATATAAGGAATAGAGAATAATGGGTAAACAATATAAAGAATAGAGAAAAATAAAATAAAAAATGAAACCATACCGAAATGAAGGACCACAATCCAGACCCTCATAAATAGGACATACAACATCGTACCTAAAGAAAAACATAGAGCAAGCCAAACTGAACGAGTTATTCGTGATGAAAATAGTTGTTCAATAGGAATAAGCAGCTCCTGTCCAACCAATGGCAGTCGTTATGCTACTAATTACATGAATACTTCCTTGAGTCCATTGAGCGTGCTTTCAGGACCGGTGAGCATTATTTTGATACGTATTTTAAATTTTTTTATTATTGATTTGCCTGTACTTCTGTTTTTTTCTCTCCGATATACCGGTATTATAGAGACTTTATATATGCTGATATTTTGTACGTTCCTTTATATACCATTCTTATTCTACTGATCGAAACTTACTTAAGGTGGCTCGGGAGTCTTCCTCCATTTTGGATTTTGAAATAGCAGATAACGTTGGTCTAGATATTTGATGAAATGTGCAAATTTTGAGAGTAGTATGTAATTTATGTGTAAGACTTTTGATGGAAATATAGAAAGTTGTGTGTTTTATCATAATTACGGCTGTAATTTCTAAAAAATACCTTATTTGTGATTGATTATTTTTTTTGCAACTTTGCCAAATAAGGGGAGATAACCCAGATAAAGTAATTTTTATAATAGAAAGTGTTGTGAATTTACCTATTTTAATCTGTAGCAAGAAAATAAGTTCGGTTACCCCGTTTTTTCTTTTTCTTATCTGAAAGCATGTTATAAGAGCTATCTTCTCACATTTTATCTTAAAATTCTATCATGTAGTTTTCTTTTTATCACACACAATTTAATTTTCCATGCATAATCGATACAAAATCTGACAATTTTGCACAACCTGTAGCGTGAAAAAAAGTCCGGTGACCCATACTTTTTATTATATTTTTGAAAAAAGCATGATAAAAACTTCATTATGACAAATTATTAAAAAATTCTATCAATTTTAATTAAGACGCCATAGCCACCTTAAGAGAAAGGGTCGAGACATTTATAAGTAATCTAACCCTACAACGTTTTTTTATGCGCATGTCACATGTCAGTGGTTGTTTTTATGGGTTTTATTCTGTAATTTATTGAATTAAGTCTTGATTGTAGTTTTTTGTTTGAAACCGTCCCTGTTAAATTTATTCACATCCTTTCTTGACTCAACTGATTTATAGTTTAAGTTGCCAGAATATTTTCACTATAAATAAGAAGATGTGGTATGAGTGCCAATAAAACAACTCTCCATCCAAGTCACAATGTGTAAAAAGTAAACAATTATAGATCAAAGTACGGCCTTCAACTCGGAGCCTTGGCTCACACCGAACAGCAAGCTATAAAGGGCCCCAAAATGACTAGTGTAAAACAATTCAAAAAGGAAAACCAACGGTCTAATCTATATAAAAAACGAGAAACGAAAAACACTTATGAACCACACCAACAAACGACAATCACTGAACAACAGGATCCTGACTTAGGACAGGTGCATACAAATGCAGCGGGTTTAAACGCTTTAACAGGCGTCAACCTTCACCCTAACCTGTAAACAGTAGTGTTACATTACAACATAAAAAGACACACTAGTTTTGTATACTGTTGTGATTTGGTGTGTTTGCTCGTCAATGCTCTTTACTTTCATTATTGAAAATCAATAATGTTCTTAGTTTAAACCATTGAAAAGGGTCAATGCACTTTAGTTTGATCATAGAAAATCGTTTACAAAATAGGAATATATTTCAAGAGAGAACCAATGGTCTGATTTAAGGTAAAATTAAAAAAAAGGAAAACAATTATGACAGATATTAAACGAAGACTAGCACTGTTTTTTTGAGATTTTGAAATTTCAAATATTTTGGCATCGAACACCTTGCTGTTATTGTATAAATGCGCATCTGACGTAGTAAATTTGGGACCGTTAACGTGATTAAAAGAGGTTGACTCATCAAATCGGTAATAAGGTAAAAAAAATAACTGCAAATAAATATTACTGAAAACTATATTGAAGATAGATGTCTAATCATTTACTACCTCTAAGGGTTGACTTGGGTATAGAAATATGGTTACCTCGACTTTTCCAATACAGTAGTACACCCATGTAAAAAAAAATAGGCGTTCTTTGGCTGTTCGAGATGTATAAATACACAGCCATGTCCGGTTGAAACTGAAAGGGCCGATAAAAGCTTCGTGCAATAATAGTGACAGACAGAAAAATCCGTTCTGGTGTCCGAATCATTTAAAACAAAAACAACGAATGTATTTTAAAACATATAGTTAAACGTACACAACATACATGAAATTAGTCAAAATGCAATAAAACACCATTATTAATTACATTTTATACATAATTCAACATTAATATAGAAATAGAAGGAATTAGAATAATCGCAAACTAAGTTTTTGTCTTTTGAATAAAGCAACCTTTAATTATGAACTTTCCTTTTTTGTTTCATTTAAACAAAAGAGGAAAACTCAATCTCGCGAGTGTACAATGCTATCCGTGGAAAGAACTATCTATATTTTTCATTATACATTAATGTTCATGTACCAATTAGGACTCAAATGTTTGCATTATAATATTTATGTAACATAGTTACTCCAGCCTAATAAACTAAATATCCCCTCGATTTAAAAGCGACAATTCCTTTTGCGTTGCAAATTGTAAAACCATGTGTTTCTTTAATATTTGAAATAAACCCTCATATAGAGTCATATATACTATAAATCTAAGTTGGTGCTTTTAACAAATATTTCTACTAACATGTCTAATTAGATTTCTTTTCTTAATACTAATGGGAACCAAATAATTCTATTACGCATGTACTATGTAAAGTACTCAGACTTATGTGTACAATGTGAAACAACTTAACTGTAATAAGAGCGGAATGGTCAATTTCTCCAGTATTGCAATTTATTCCCTAATCCGTTCAATAAGTATCAATATAAATTTTTCAATTATAGTTCGGTATCATCATGATCTGGGGGAAGTAATGGATATTTTGGTGCTTCCGGTGAATGTATTGGTTCCGGATGTGACCGCATTGCTGCTCGGCGAGCCTCTTCAGAATTTGCTGACGATTCTTCAAGCCATCTCATGAAACGATTATCAAAATGATGGTTACTGTTCACATGTTTCATTCTTGCGTCAGGGCATGATGTTAGGGAATTATGAACATCGAGATTATGCGCACTAAGAGAAGACTGATAAATTTCCTTTGGTTTAGGTTTGCCTTGTTCTACGAAATAAGTATTTACAACATTTGCTACAGTTTCCGGTTCCTGTTCTTCATCCTCTTGATAGAAGTTCATCTCAGTATTATGCAAATTTTCATGCAACCGAGGTCGCAAAAGATGACCTTCATTTGGATAGCGATCTGGACTACTTTGTGGTCTAGCTTTCAAAAATGTCTTTTGTGCGTTTAAACAAGGTGTAAATGAACTTTTAGGTCTTTGAGTAGTATTTACGGTTAATCTCGGTTCAATGACTGGTTTGGGTGCCGAGGCAGCACGTGGCACCGCAATATTTGCGTTCAGACTATTTTTAATGGGGACTCGTCTTATGATATAATCATTATCATGGTTTGTGTTTACTGATGGTGTTATATATGTTGTTTCATGATTTAATTTCAATCGTCTTTTAAACAATTGAAGGGATGTATGAATTGTTGCTTGTCGTTTTGCTGCCTCGGTTCGCCGATGCCTCAGACTCGGTTTGCTCATTCTTCCAGGCTTTTCGTTTGATTGAATAGCACTACCACGCACTTCACAACTTATTTGAGCATGTTCTCTTTCCTTAGGTTCATAGTCCTCTTGCATTTTACTCTTTTTTGGTTCCTCTTGTATATGAAATCTAACGTTTTTAACTTTTATTTCTTGTTTTAGATCCCCGGGAAGACTCCAGTGACGCTTAGCAGGGTCACCAATGTCTGCAAAGTAGCTAGGATCTTTTGATTCCCCATGCAAGACATAGTTTTCAATTGATGGAAATTCCTTACTCCTACTACTGTTTGCTTCTCTTATAAACTTGAGATGAGATCGTTTAATTCTCTCTAATTGCCGTTCATTTTTATCACTAGGTTTCAACATAGTTCCCGTGCTACCCTTCCGTTTTATTTGGTATATCAATGGATTTTGGTTTTTCAAAGGTTTATCATTTTCCTTGCCTGGTTCTTCGTGAATCATGCCTACTATCTGTTTACGTATGACTTCCGCATTTGGAGATTTAGGCGTTCGTGGGGTATGTAGAGGTTCATGTGTCGAGTTGCACACCCGCAACATCTTTGGCACTACTAAAATCCTAAAATAAAGAAAACAGCATCATTCAGTTTTAATAAAAATCGATTCAATGAGTCGGAAAAGCTGCGGTACAAGGATACATGAAATGAGTACACGCAATTAGTGTTTCTGAAAATACGCTAATGAGATACATTCTAACAAAATATACGGTTTCATGTAAGAAACAAGCTAGTACACTATAGTTTTAATCACCCGTGAACAGTGTGTACTTCAGATTTTTACTCTTACTTCTATATTTGTCATTGGAAAACAACCCTTTTATAATATGAGCAATTTTCATGTAGGCATTTAGTTGTTTGTGAGGGGATTGGTCCAATTTATGGCGAATTCTAAGGGGATTGGTCCAGTTTATTGCGAATCAATATCTTAATTTTTTTTTATTTTTTTAAACTGAATACACAAAAACGGTAAAAAAAATAGTATATGACGCGATTGTACACGATACATTATTTTCAAAATATACTGACAAATAACTGTAATATATTTAATGTTTATTATCATTTTTATATCTCCGTATGGATTTTGGTCTTTGAAATTAAGAAAGATACACGAAGGGGATCAAAATCTCTGAGATGAAGGTAATATCTCATAATATCGTTGTTCAGGAACAATGTATCATATATGTGACAACAATTAAAACTGTGGGCTTATTATCATCTCTTTTTTCAAGTATTTACATTTTATCAGTACTGGTAATCATGGCTACAACATGACGGAGGGAGTAGACTCTACTACTATCTTGAACCAAATACTTTTCAATGACTATTTGAATATAAAAACTTAATTAGTTTATTTTCATTTTTCATAATATATTTACATATGTATGTGTTATTTATGATATCGAATACATTAAAAAAATGTTGAGAGTGATGAATATTGAATCTTTAAATCTTGTAGCACAAATCGAATAAATTTTTATTTGTTTTTTTTTTTCAGGCAAAAAAAAAGAATAAACGATGAAATGAACTTAAGACAGTGAGATCTGAAATTAATCGAAGTCGAGGCTTTTACCCTAGCTACACTCAGGGCAAGTAATAAAAAGAATTTAATCTACATATAATTCAGTGAAAGTTCCACTTTTCTACAATATTAGAAGGACCGTAGTAGTGCAAACTTTCGAAAAAATATTCGATCAATTCTAAAATAATGGTAAAGTTAAAGAAACAAACCTGTCCCCGTCTCGGAAATGGTACTGCTTAAACATAAAGTCCGCCATATTCCCTTTAGATGTTTGTAAGAAAAGAACTTTTCAAATGCTGACAATTTTACAATATATGATATAACATTTAAAAAGTTTAATTGCCAGTTTAGAAATAAACATTTATAGAACTTTATGAAAGGCGTGTGGTGTATAATGACAACCATTCAACCTTACTGTAAAGAATTAATTTCAAGGGGGTAATTATCTATAAATATAATAAGTCAAATGAACTGGATACGTAAAACCTTACATGTATAAAGATAGTTGGTATATATGAGAACGTCGAGGTCATACTCGTAAATAAAAGATAAGAATGGGTAAAAGTTCGGAAAAGTGCGATTGTTGATACCTTTTGTTTGATTATGTACAAAATATGTGTTTTACATCTCCCCCTTTTTCATTAAGTTTGTATTTACATTGTGTCATAGATCAATTTTATTCGTTCAGTGTATGTTTACTTGTTTTTGTTAATATATCTGTTCATTGAGTTGGGCTATTTCAATTGATATTTTATAGTGTGTCTTTCTATGTTGTGATGTTACACTATTGTTTCGGGTTAGGGTGAAGGTTGGCGCCTGTTAAAACGTTTAAACCCGCTGCATTTGTTTGCACTTGTCCTAAGCCAGGAACCTATTGTTCAGTGGTTGTTGTTTGTTGATGTGGTTCATTAGTGTTTCTCGTTTCTCGTTTTTTAAATAGATTAGACCGTTGGTTTTCCTGTTTGAATAGTTTTATATTAGTCATTTTTGGGCCCTTTATAGCTTGCTGTTCGGTGTGAGCCAAGACTCCGTGTTGAAGGCTGTACTTTGACGTATAATGGTTTACTTTTACAAATTATGACTTGGATGGAGAGTTGTCTCATTGGCACTCATTCCACATCTTCTTATATCTTTTTAGTTCAACTTCAATAAAAAAAAAAAAAACTAAAAGTGAGTCTGACCCTAGATGCCAATACCTCTTTAAGGGCATATGATATAGTTAAATGTAATAGAGAGCATGAACATTTGGACCCTGCTTTCCATATTATATGCCGTTTTTTGTATTTCCTGTTCAAGTTGTATCTGTACTGTGCTGGTTCTGTCTTGTGTTATTTGGTATATACTGTATTTAATGGTGTAAAAAGACTGAGTTCGGGAGGATTTTGTGCAGGTTAAACTGATTTTGCCTCCATCATATTTTAAGCTTGTACCTAGTCCGATTATATGGACCATGTGGTTTTCGTAGTTGTATGGCATTGTTTTGACTCTGTTTGAACATCAACAACAGGCTATTCTTTGTCAAAATGTTAATGCACTTTTTGTTTCAGGGCTAATGTCTCGAGATGTACCAGGGTGATATAAAATACAGTGACAGTAACCCTAACCGGTCCTTACTTTATCATGTGACAAAACTCAAAAGGACAAACTGAAAAAGTGCCATTCAATACATGCGTAAAATGTTAGAAACTATTTGATGATATTTTGAAGGTATCTTATCAAAATTTATGAACATTCTTACCTTATACATTGACGGAAATTGTTTTTTACTTAAAACTATACTTTCTCACTTTAATTATTTTATTAATGGTATTTGTTCATTTAAGTTCTATATATTTAATGTTTGCCTAAACGTTTACAGCAAGTGCATTTAATTACCTAAATGTATTTACACAGTGTCTTTAATTTACTCTTCAAATTGAAACGGTAGGTGGCAAACCTCAATTGATATGAATTATTTTAAATGACAAACGTTCAATTCGCTTGGTCCTTAATTGATATCTCATAAAAGCAAAATTGTTTAGTGCGCTAACATTTATTTTCACTATAATGCCGCGATAATGACTATCATTATTCTTTTATTAGCTCAAAGATATAATTAGAGTTTTCAAATTATTGCTAGTCAATGCAAATTATGCACGAGACTGTCCGGAATACATGATAAAAAACACATATCTGTATTTTCTCAATTATAGCGAAAGTTGTTTTTTGTATTAGTAGATGGATTTTGATTGTTGTTTGCTTAATGTCCAATTGCAAAATTTTAATCGCTTACAGGACGATGTATTAGTAAAACAATTAAATTTTCCAATATGCATCCGTTTGGCCATGACATTTTTAAGTTTATTTCATTTGATTGTTGATTAACGTCCAGTAGCAAATATTTCATGCATTTTCATTACAATGTATTAAAATTCATTATTAATTCTGCAGTTTACAAATAACCACTTGGCTTTGAGATTTATTAGACTGTTACAAACAGAACAACCAAATTAAAAAAAAAACTGATAAACTAAACGTTTGCTATGAAAGTGTGAAAGTATAGATCACTCGTTTCCTTTACTTAGTCTAATACTATATAATATTTATATTATAAAGTCGAAGATTTGTGGCATTGAATGAAAATCAATGAAACAGCTGTGCATACATGTAATCAATCACAGAAGAGTAAGTTTATACTAAACCAAAATTTTGCCACAAAATGAGAACAATAATGCTTGTTGAAAAGAATTTCAATACCTGAAACCTTAGACTTTCTACTAGTTTTAGACAGATCATTTACAGATTTGACAATAAATATCCAAAATGTAGATCGTGGCAATGTGTTTACCAATTATAATTTTAAATAACTATATATAGCTTTCCAAAGGTATAAAAACTGAACACTAATAAATTACAGTTAAGACAGGAAAATCTTATCCAAATATTTAATCAACTTTACCTTGTTGTACGTGTTACCCGAAGGTTGCAGAATTGTGGAAGTGAATCAATATAAGTCAAATATAGAAACAACAAAAACTTCACAGGAATAAAAATGACTAAGGCCAAATAACGACAATTTCATTTTTTTTCTGAATACTTCGACTTCTCTCTGCGTAAAGCATTAATTCGATTAAAAATAACATCATCTAATTAAAGTGTTATTTACTCATGGTTATATATTTTTCTGTTTTTTTATTCATTTTTTCTTACATTCTTTAATGTGTTTGTCTTTTAATTTATTTTAGGTCTAGTTTTGTTGCTTACAACAGCTTCGAGACGAAGCAACCCCAAGATATAATAAGTAAAATGAAAAAATCACAGAAAAAATTGTTTGCACATCCTAACAAATTATTGATTTGCTTGTTAAATATGCATGTATATATTTATTAATTCATAAAATATTCCATGTAATGTTTTCTTCTCGTGATTAAGGTTGTGTGCGTTTTCTTGTGGTAGGAGCATTACTATAATTAACAATTCCAAAGAAAATTATAAGGAAGTTTTCCAAAGACGTAACTGCAGCAAGATATGTTGATTTTAGATTGATTGTAAGCGAGATTCCAAATCAAATGCAACCGCTAATAAGAACAAGACCAATAAAGGGGTCTAGACTTGCGTCGCTGCATGCTATTGAATGAGGTACACTGAAGCATAACTGGGATTTCCTTTCAAATTTTCATGTACAATGAGTGTTGTAAAATTTCAGACTATCACCAAACAGGAAGTGGCTGCATGGCATTGCTTACACGCTACAACTCAACATTATAAAAACCACAGAACATATATATAATCAATCTCTTCCGTTGAAGGCAAGACAAACTTGACGGATGTTTTCTACCCAAGGTCTGACGGACGGACGGAGTCAAGTGGTTACTAGACTCAAACCGTGAGATGGGTGCGGTAAAAAGCAATATATAGACACAGATTGATAGTACTACAAACATAAGTGCAACCAAACCTACATGTAAAGCAAGGTTAAATATCCTTGATATCATCAGCCCAGAAGTTAATTAAATAGTGCTTCTATTTAAATGGTATTTGTATTAAAACTAAGATTGTAAC